GACGGGAGCCAGGCCTGGATGACAGTTAGGGTTCTTACAAACAGGTAGAAGAAGGGAGGGCAGCCCAGGGGCCGAGGCAGGTCAGAATTCCGATTTTAAAGGGGAGCTTTAGCCAATGCCCTCTTTATTCTGCACCCTCGTCTCTATCTTGAGAATTGGTCACTGGTGGTTCAGAACAGCTACTCAGAGGCCCTACATTTTAAGATGAGTGAACCTGGAAGAAAGTTCTGCTTTGTTCACCGAATGTGCAGGGACACGAACTCAGAGAGGTTCGAGATACATACAAGAAAAGAGGACACGTGGGGACGTTTGAGAATCAACAGCAGAGTTGGACCCTGTGCTTGCGAGGAAGGGACAAAGGCCACTACCTCAGGTGTAGTAGGGGTGATCGTAGTTAGGTTCATGTGCATCTGTTCTTTGTTTCTGTCTCCACTGCACCCCAGCCAGGCCATCCGCGAGCTGCAAGAGGAGGTGTCCCGGCTCCGTCTGCGGCTGGAAGACAGCCTGCACCAGCCACCCCAGGGCAGCCCGACACGCCCACCGTCTACCCTTGACCGCCCTGCCCGGGCCCGGGACCGGCCAGCAGATGCCCCCGCTGCCTGGGGCTCTCACTGTGGCAGGTGAGTGACCACAAAACTCCTACCCTGTGCCAGAGGAAGGTAGGTGTGGCAGCCACAGGAGGTAGGTGTGGCCGGCCTCTTGCTCTCCCCAGACATGTAGACACGGGCACAGTTACACCATCTTTCACTCATTTATTCACTCATATTTTTTTACTGTCTAATATTTGATGCATAAAAAATATAGTAGACATGTGTTTATAATAAAGCATGATCCTGAACTCACCACCCAACTGAAAGAGCTAGAAGATTTTCAGGACTCATCCTCTCACCCACTCACTCAGCAGACATTCGTTCATGACGATCACTTATAAAATCAGCTAACTTTGAATGGTTCTCCGAGAGGGCACTAGGTTAAGGGTTTTATGGGCATGAACATGTCTCACTGATCCTTCCAGCGACGCTCTGAGGCAATTACTCTTATTATCCCCATTTGACAGATGAGGAAACTGAGGGTCCAAGAGGCTCGGCTCCATTTGCTGTGATTCTGACTCCGGCGTTTGTTTTGGATTTCCTTGCTCTCCTCCTCCCGTCATGTTAGAAGCGTGTCACTCGGTTGGCCTTCTCGCTGGTCATCTTTAAAGGCTGCATAAAACCTCATGCTGCTGTCACTGTCATGCTCTCTCTCTCTCTTTTGCTAGTAAATCCACAGAGAGGTTGTCCAGTGAGCCTGGAGGTGCAGAGCGAGCAGTCCCCGTAGGGAGGCGGCGAGCCAGGTCCACCTCGGTGCCGCGAGAGGTGCCCCGACTGTCCTTGAGTAAGTGATAATCTGCCAAGACTGAGTTCTGGAGGCCACAGTCTGGGCATATTGGCTCAGTCGTCAGGGACACAGCAACAGCGTTAGAGGGAAATTAGATAAGTTTTTGTGTGTGTCTGTTTTAGGCAGTTTTGGTGCTCTGAAGTACAATGCACTTCCAATAATAACTACTGTATCCGTAAAGGCTTCACACGTGTGTGTGTGTGAGATCTCACTTAATCTTCACTGCAAGATGGGTCACATTATCTACGTCCTGTAGATAGGACACCTAAGCCCCAAAGCACAGAGGACCTGCCTAAAGGATCATGGCTCTGGAATTGGTAGCCGGTTTCAGCCCCAGCTCACTCTGTCCTGGCCATGTGACCTTGGCCAGGTGGTTTACCTGTCTGTGCAGTTTAAGGGACAGCTAACAGTACAGGAATAACAGCATCTGTCTCATGGAATTACCGTGGGGTGTGGGACACAGCGCTTGGAAAGGGTCTAGACTGGTGCTGAGCACAAGAGCAGGGGTCCGGGCGTGTCAGCTGTTTTACTGAAGGGTGGATCGGGCTGCCCTGGGGTGGCTGGTACAGGCCGTCCCTGAGTTGCGTGACCCTCACTGCCTGCCCCGCTGCCTGCCCTCCCGCTTCTACCCCAGGTTCTGAATCCGAGCCAGCCTCCCCACAGCTTTCCTCTGAGAAGGAAAGGACCACCAAGGACAGCCCACAGGACAGAATGAGAGGAGTGCGCCGTACTGGAAGGCCAGACAGGGTCACCTTCCGGGGCCAATACACAGGTGGGCCAGAAGGGAGGGCTGGGTGGGGTGGGCGCAGTCCCCAGGGTGGTCTCCTCTGTCATGGGAAGCTTTTTCCATTTAGCCATTCAAATATTGTCATTTTCTATGAGTTCTGTGATATGAAAAACATCAGGGAGCATTGCCTCTGAATCTCAGTCCATTTGTTCATTCATTCATTCATTCATCCAGCAAACAGTTTCTAATGCCTTTCCTTTGCGAGGGCCCACGCTTGTTTCTGGGAAAGCCCATTCAGCTAGAGAGGTTTATGAAGCGCCTGCTGTTTGCAGGACCTGGGCTACAGAGTGAACACCGAATCACTTACTCTCGGCCCACCTTCAGGTCTGACTCTCCAAGGGGCCACTCTGTCCTGGGAACTAGGCACCTGGCACATAGTGAGGCTCGAGATGACACATGGTAGGATTTCAAAGTGCATAACGTTAAAACAAACATGGATAGGGCTCCTACTTTCATGAATATGATTCTATAGCAAAGAAGACAATAACAGATAAGCACTTGCAGTGTGTACATTATTACAGTAAGTATCTCATAGATGTGGCTGTCACTCATACCTCACTGGAAGGGAGGGTGGTTAACCTTAGATCCATATGGCTGAGCATTAGGGACAAGGCAGGAAACAAGAGACATGTATCTCACCTGGATGGAGTGGATAGAGGCCAGGGAGTTAAAAGTAAGAGCAGCAGAAAGTCCAGGGGACCCCAGTGCAACACACAGTATAAAGGAGAACCCCACATGGCAGAGGAGAGAAAAAAGATCAGTAATCAGGCAGCATTCTGAAGGTCTTACCTGAGGCTCAGGGAGAGAAGAGATAGGGGTTGGGTGAGAACCGGGGAGTCTATCCAACTTTTTAATAACATGGAGCGCTTTATATTTGCCAGGTGCTGGGCAGCATACCTCATGGATACGGCCTCATTTAGTCCTCCCTATGAGCCTGGGAAACCTTCGCTGTCACTATCCCCAGACAGCCCCTCGGAGCACAGGGAGAAAACACCAGTGACCCCATGCGCGAGCCATTCCCATCTCGACCAGCAAGTCGGGTCTGGGAAAGTGGCAGTGCTCTTTGTCATTGGTTATCATAGCTTCCTGGCCTGATTTTAAACCCTAACTGAGCCTGAGTTTGTCGATTGCTTCTGTATGTCGAACACTAGATAGCTGGCAACTCAGTAGGATCTGACGTGACACAGGAGTCTGAGAGAGCTTATAATAAACAGACAGATCATTGGGTCTTTTCGAACACATGCATGTACGCATACATATATACACATATTTAGGCACATATATCACGTGTGTGGGTGTGTGCATACACAATAGAAAAAGGAGAGAGAGAGAGACTATTGAAACCATCTGGAGGCAGAAGGGAGAGGTCATTTTACTAAATCCCCCTCAGTTCTGCTGCCAGGCAGAGAACTGACGCTGACTGTGCTGTGTTCTTCCCCAGGCCAGGAATATTGTGTTCTGACCCCCAAGATTGTCCGAAGAGGGAGTAGCACAGTCTTCTGTCCCCACTGCCAGCCCGTTAGGACTCAGGATGCAGGTAAGGGATGGAGGTGGCCACAGCAGCAAAGCTGAAGCTTCTTCGCTCCGGGAAGGGTACCGCTGGGCCAGACTTAGGTCTGGCCTGGGTGCGGGGGTGGGTCAAAGGTACAGACGAGGGAACAGGATCTTTCTGGGCTTCTCAGGCCTCCCAGGGTGCCCTGCCCTCACACGTGTTGCTCCCAGTGCTGCTGTCTAAAGCCACCTTCCTTGACCTCGTCACTGAGAAACCATGGACACGATTTAAGAAGTTCCTGAAGGGTCCTAAGAGGAGGGGCTGGGCTGCAGTGATTGTACCTTCTCTCCCCTCCACCCTCCTTCCACGCCTCCTCCTTCCCCTCAAACCTAACGGAGGAGCAGTGAGAAGAACAGTGACCTGAGAATGTGGATACCAGGTTCTAGTCCCAGTCCTACCACTGACTTGCTGTGTGGCCTTAGGCAAGTTCCTTAACTTCTCCGAGCCTCAGGTTCCACATCTATAATGAAAGAGTTGGAGACGGTCTCTGAGACCCTTTTAAGCAATGAGGATGATCATGATGGAGCTGTCATTTATTAAACCCCTACTGTATGCAGGGTATTATGCTAAGCATTTTACAAACTTTAATCTTCATATCTCTGTGAAATAGGTTTTGCTCATTTTGTTATTATGCCTGCTTTATGAGTGAGGAAACTGAGGCTCAGAGAGGTTAAGTAATTTGCCCAAGAGCATATAGCTTAAAAGTGGTAGAGCCAGGATTTGAACCCTAGTCTTTGTGATGCCAGAGCCCTGGGATTTAACTATGTCCCTCTGCCTTTACTATAGTTCCAGTAGTCCTCTCCATTCATTCATTCACTCATTCATTCATTCACCACCTTTCCATACTGGGCCCTCGGCCCTGTACCCAGGGAACTGTCAGCAGACAATGACAAAACAGAGCTGGGATGAGAGAGCCCGGGGCGGGCTTGGGAGCATATAACTCCACCTGGTGAGTTGGGGGTTTCCCAGAGGGAGCAATGGCTGAGCTGAGGCCTGAAAAAGTGGAGTGGCCATGGAACTGACCCGGAGGTGGCATCGAGGATTTGCATAGAAAGAGAACGAGGGTGCCCACTCTCCTCCTGCTAACTGGGCAAGTTGAGGCCTCCACTGGCCCTTCTGGTACCCAGGGCCATTGTGGGCCACTCCCACATAGGGAATAGGTCTGTCTCACTGTGGGGGAAGGGCCACAGGTACTGGGCTGCAGTCAGGACTGCTGAGTTTGGGATCAGGCAGAGGACCGCTGCTTCCCAGCTCTGAGACCTTGGCAAATTATTCACCCTCTCGGAGCCTCAGTTTTCTCATCTGTTAAATGGGGGAGTGATGATAGCAGCTAGCCCAGTGGCTTGTTGGATTTGATAAAATAATGCAGGAAGGCCCTGAGCAGAGAGCCTGGCTCATTAAATGTAGACTCTCAGTGTCACGGTTGCCATCATTCTTGTCACCCAGATGGAGGCAGCTTGTCTCCTCTGCATGGTTTGGAGGGAAGCTCAGTGCTGCAGGAAGCCTGCTTGGGACGCTCCAGACCTGGTGGTTCAGGCATGATCCTTTTCTGACATCTCTTTCTCCTTTTCCAGGCAGTGCTGTCACAAGGGACCCACTGAAACCGTCTCCCACTGATGCCCTGCGATGTCCCCTGTGTGGTCGAGTCGGGTCCACCCCTGAGGGGGACAGCCCAGACTCAACCACCTCTGGTAGGGACAGATGCTCGTTCTCTCCCCTTAGCTCTCCTCTGTGGGGGTTTGGGGCCTGGGCCGGGTTAGCAGGGTAGCTGTTCTCCCCAGTCTGGAATGGCGCACACTGGGCAGAGTGTTTGCTTCCTAAATCCAGGCATTCCCAGTGTGGCCAGCCGAGTGGCCAGTTCGAACAGGGCAGGCCCTGGGCAGACCATCTGTTCTCTGTATATCTTCCCAAGTGGCCAGACTGTGTCTCTCTGGTGTCTTTTTTCCTGGCAGGAGCAGAAAAAGCCACCACAAAGAAAAACGCATCTTCAGCTTCCAGCCCCAAGCAGAGGAGCAAGCGGGTTGGGTCGCCGCCCCGGCCACCCCCTGGACTGTGGTATCTGGCTTCTGCACCTTCAATACCAGCCCCTCCTGCTTTTGCCTACGTCTCTTCAGTTCCCATCATGCCTTACCCATCTGCCACTGTGTAAGAGCCTTCACTTTCGACCCTCTCTCACTCTCTTTCTGAGTTGCTTAATAATCAGCATTCAGACCTGTGTCAGGCAGCCGCGAACCTGGACGTGTGTATTCCTTTGCTTTCCCTCTCATGTACAATGTGCAGAACAAGTCTGACACTCACAGAGTCACTCAACAAACCTCCGATGCTCCCTGCGCACCAGGGAGAGTGCTCGGCCCTGGGAACCCAGCACTGAAGGAGCCTGGCAGAGGGCCCTGCCCACTGGAAGCTTACAGCCTCATAGGGCTCTGGAATCCTAACCATCTTTCATTTCCTTGTCAGTCTTCTCAGCGAGCAAGTAATGTGCACTTAAAAAATGTTTTTCAGTTTTAGATTTATAAAGAAATTGAGCAGATAGTATAGAGAATTCTCATGTAAACCCCTTCCCCCCAACACACATATGCACGGTTGCCCCTATTATTAACATCTTACATTAACATGGTACATTTGCACAGTTAGTGAACCAGTTTCAATACGTTTTTATTAACTAACGTCCATAGTTTATCCAGGCTTCTTTAGTTTTTATCTAAAGTCCTTTTTCTGTTCCAGGATCACATCGAGGATCTCACATACGTTTAGTCGTCATGTCCTCTTAGGCTCCTCTTGGCTGTGACCGTTTCTCAGGCTTTCCTTGTTTCTGATGGCCTTTCCACTTTTGAGGAGGACTGGTCAGGCCTATGGTAGGACGAGCACTTACTTTTTACGTGGATTTGGATGTGACATCAGTCAAGACAGAAAAGAGCAGTGGAAGCAGAAGTGGTTCAGGTTTTAGAGTCAGCGGCTCTGGACCCCTGTCTGCCGCTTATTAGCACGGTGGCCTTGGTAGAGGTTCTTCCTGGAGGCTCAGTTCCCCCATCTGTTAAATGGGGTAATAGTCTCAAGCATGTACAGCTGTGTGAGGATTAAGGGAGGCACATGGCGAGAACCAGATGCTTGTGGAGTTTGTAGTGCAGTGCCAGCATGTGCTCATTGCTGACAAATGGCAGCTTTGTCATCACACCAAATATAATATTGCCATTTGTAAGAAAAAAAATGAGTAAAAATGGCTTCAACATGACAGGATTGTTCAGGGTGAAAAAGGCCTGGACTGTGGAATTAGGAGACTTGTCTTCTTGTCTCACCAGCTGGTTCTGTGCATCGGTTTCCCCCACTGTGGAACAAGTGGGTTGGGACTCTTCTTCAGGGGCCTGTCGTCAGAAGCCTGTGTCTGTGGGCAGTGGGGGCCAGAGTCCCTGGAGTGGGTTGGGACTCTTCTTCAGGGGCGTGTCATCAGAAGCCTGTGTCTGTGGGCAGTGGGGGCTAGAGTCCCTGTGGGGCCTGGAATTTTGCGGGAGCACAGGCTCAGGGTGCCATCCAGCCCCAGTCCCTTGTGGGGACTCGTGCATACAGCAGGATATCGTGCTGCCTTCTCAGCGAGCCGTTAAGACGACTTCCGCTCCAGCAACTCTGAGAGGCCTCACTTTGCTCCTCTGTGCCTCAGTGTTTTCCTCTGTGAAATGGCTTGTGGTGAGGATTAAGAGAACTAATGCATGGAAAGCGCATAGTACATCGAGGGTGGCCAGTAACCATAGTGCTCCTAATGCTGCTAGAGCTTGGCCTGACGACGCCTTTGTTTATCCCGCTGTAGGACTGAGCATGCTCAGTGGATGAGGCCTGTGCACCCTTTAGAAAGCTGAATGGGCCTGTGCTGCCACCTAGTGGTCAGCCACCATATAGCCCCTGAACCAGAGGCTTTCTAGCCAAGAGGTTTGTTGGTTGGTTTTTGTGTTTGTAGCTTCTGCCCTGGGGGAAGTTTTGGGTAACTCTCAGGCCAAGCTAGACATCAGATTATCAGAACAGAGTGGTGTGCGGGAACCCAATAATTGCACCAGATAGTCCTGTCCCCGAAGGGGGGAAGTGGATTCAAGAAGCCCCTTTATTCATTTGGTTCAAATGACAGCTATCAGCATCTACTGGGTTCTAATTAGCTCTAGTGTAAAAACAGCACCGCCCCTTCCAGCTCACTGACCCTGGGCCTCCATAGCTGACATTTACAGAGCACTTACTGTGGTCAGACAGCTTACGAGCTTTTTACCTGAATTTTGCCTAGGAGGTGGGTAAATGTGGCTGTTTTAGGAAACAGAGCCCTTAAAAGGTGAAGCGGCCTTGCCAGGGTCTTGCAGCCTGCCAGGCGGAATGACCAAGATCTGGGGCAGCCTCCTGCATCACCTAGCTTCTCTGAGCTCCACTTTGCTCATCTGTGAAATAAGGACAATAGTACCGACCGAATAAATGAGATAATGCTGGTAAAGGCACTTATCTCAGAGCCTGGCACATGGGTTCTGAGGATGAGGATCTTGGCCCCAGGCTAGGCACTGTGTTTAATTGTTTGAGGAACTCCCGGACAGTTTCCAGCATGACTGCAGCATTTTACATTCCCCCCAGCAGTGTAGGAAGGTTCCAGTCTCCACACCTTCATCAACACTCATCACTTTCTTTTTTACCATAGCCATCCCTGTGGGTGTGGAGTGTGTGAAGTGGCAATTCATGTGGTTTTGATTTGCATCTCCATGATGGCTAATGATGTTGAGCATCTTTTCAGGTGCTTGTTGGCCATTTGTATATCTTCTTTAGAGAGACGTCGATTCAGATCCTAGCAAAGCCCCCTTTGCCCCCTGTGTAATAACACAAGTTAAAAAGTGGAGAATCAGGAATACGACTCGAGTTTACAGTGTGCTCAGCAATGAATGAGTCCGGCCGAGTCCTCTCAAACTCATTCCCGCTTTATTTAGGTGAAATGCTTCTTTACCCTTCTCTCTCCCACACACTTTATTCTACAACACAAGGACCATACCATACCTTCCTCTTGCCCAAGGACAGTTTTCTCAAACCCTAAACTTGGTGACGATGGATGAAGGCAGTAGTCACTTCTTGGAGAAATCGTGCTTCATCTCATGGCTCGTCAGCCTGTTTCCCTCCAGCACTTTACTACAAACCCCCACATCCTGCAGGACCAGCCTGGGAAGGACGCCTTTTCACCTGCTGCCCTAGATGAACAAAACCAGACCCCCTACTCCTGCAGAACCCTCATTATGATCACATTTCTCCAGTGCTCCAAATGGCAGTGGGGCTGCCCTACTTCTACCCCTCTAAAGAAGGGAGTTTGCTGCAGAGCCTGGGGTGATCCTGGTCTCCCACAGATCCGGCTCTTGGATTCAAAGCTCCAAGAAAGCAGCAAGGTCTATGTCATTCCTTCACCATTAATTCCAGGGCAGTGCACACTGGCTTGCATACGGCATGTGGTCAATAAAATTTGTGAAATGAACGGGTAGCATGAACTAACCACTTTTGAGCACCTGTTCTGGGTCAGGTACTTCCGTTTATCTTCCTTCACATCCTTCAAAGTAGGTGTTTATTATTCCCATTTTAGAGGGGAAGAAACTGAGGCTCAGAGAGTAGGGGCCAGTGGCCTGCAAGGGACGCAGAACGGGGACTGACTCCAGACCCATTGCTCTTCAACTCCACTCAGCCCTCTTGTGAATAACGATGCACTTACCTCTCTCTTCAGGTTCTATGCGTCTCCAGGAGGACCTACCTCAGCCCCCTCAGCCCAACCAGCTGCTGAGTGGCCCACCACAGCCTCTTCCCGGCCGGCCGGAAGATACCGGCATTCCATCCAGCTGGACCTGGAGGACCTGGAGGAGCTCAACAAGGCTCTGAGCCGAGCTGTCCAGGCAGCTGAGAGCGTCCGCTCCACCACCAAACACATGAGCCGCTCTCTGTCAGCTAACCTGCGCCAGGCCCATGGCCTGCGGGGCTCCTGCCTCTTCTGATGGCACTGGGGGGCCTGCTGTCCCTCAGGCCAGGGATCTGTTGGAGCCATTCCTGAAGGCCCCCCAGACCTCTCATGAGGAGCCCTGTCTCCAGCATAGGCCCTGCCTACTCCGTCTCAGCATTTTCAAAACAAAAGTGCCTGGTCCTCAAGAGAAGTAACTTCCCAGGGGACCGGCCCCTGAAGAAGGTGCTAGGACCGAGGCCACCTTCTGTCCAGATGCAATCTCTGGGAGTCTCCTAGTCCTGCACTTGTCCACCTCCAGCTAATAATATGTATTTTATATACAGGTGGACAGATAGATTTTTAAACTGAGGAGTTTTCCTGAGCTCGGATCCTCCTTAGGAGACAGATAACAAGGGATGGGGTGAGGGTCTCTGGCACAAACCTGTCCACCTGCCTGTGAGCAGCCACTTGGGAGTTGTCATCTCTGGAAGGATGTGGCTAGGGACCTTTCTCCTGGCAGTTGGTGCTAGGACACTTTGGGACCATTGAGCTATCTTAGGATGCCAGCCACCAGGGTGACACATACTGGCTTCTCCATGCTTGGAATGGCCTTTCTTGGGAAGCCTTTTTCATGGTCCCTCCCAGTGCCTCATCCTGAGACCCATGGCTCTCTCCCGGGAATCTGGCTAGTGGCCAGCTCCCTGCCAGGCCGTCTCCTGCCCTGCCCCCACCCCATAGCAGTGAGTACCTCAGCTTTTCTGGAATGTGTGTGCATCAGTGATATATGTATATTTGAGGCATTTAAAAATTCTATTTTCGTTATGAGGGCAAGTGAAGAACGAATGTTGATCTTTAAAAATAAAGGCCAAAAAAAAAAAAAAAATCCCCGAAACTTTGCAAAAGCTGCCCAGGTGTGTGGTACGTGTGTGTCATTGACTTGTGGTTTCTAAAGTCAGGCTTGTGGACTGGAAGGTTGACACGGGGACCTGTTGGGTACACCTTTCTGTATTCTTCCTGCCTCCCTCTGGTGGCTTCTGTTTCTACCACTTTCCCCCTCTGCCTGTCTCAGAACCATAAGCCTCTCCACTGGAGGGACCTGCACAGGCAGGCTGTCTGGCCAAGCCCCATTTCATTGAGGCCAGAGGTGCTTTGAGCAAATTGGAGTGACCCAGCAACTTGGTGTCTGCAAACAGCTGCCATTTATTGAGCACCTACTAGCCACTGATTTTTGAGCTAAATGTCAGCCCTCTAGGGTCCTGTTATGTCCCCACTTTATTGATGAGGAGACTGAGGTTCCAGTGGGTTATCTGCCCAAATTTGAAATGGTCTGACTCCAATGCCCATATTCTTACTGAATTTCTCTTCCTAAATTTCTGTGATTTCCCCACTGACTGCTGCTTGTTCCTGTGGCTTTTTCGTCCATCTTCCCCACTCTCTCATCTCACTTGCTTCTGCCTGCTCATCAGGACCCATTTCTATTTCATTTTTCAGCTAATCCTTCTCAGTAGAGTTGAAAATGGCATCTCGCTGAAGGTAACACTGAGATGAGAGATTTCTTGTAGGTTCTGAGCCTCCAGGTCCATACCCTTCTGGGTGCCAAGAGGCTATCCAGAGCAGTGTCCCCAGCCTCAGTGCCCTGGGCACAGTGGTGGCTCCAGGTTTGAACAAAGAACACTGGAGCCTGGCTCTTTGGAGGGCTTCAGTGTATGAGCCACAGGACTGGTGTCAGGTGCCAGGGTTATGATCCTGTCTCTCTAGATGGCTCAGGCCTCTCATACATAGAATTTTTTAAACAATCCAGGTCCAACTTTTCTGCCACCTGAGTGGTGCTGCTTCCCCACAGTTCCATAAATCACAAAACGCTCAGGTCTAGAAGGAGGCCAGCCTTTCTTGCTGAACTCCTGGCCCCTGTATTCCCAATCCTGCCCTGGCCCTGGCCCCCGCCTCCGGTCAGGATGCTCACAAACAAACAGCCTTTGTGCATCTTCCTGCCTCTAGTCCGGCCTCCACCAGTTCACTGCCTCCGGCGGCCAGGATGATGTCTGCAGTAAGGTCCATGCCTGTCACCACACACCTGAGTCCTCACCACCTTATCCACCTGGACTCCTACTTAGGGTCCTCTGCCTCAGTGTTCCTCAAATGTGTACTCTCAGATCCTTGGCTTACAGAGGGAACAGCAGGTGTTACCAAGCTCCTAATCTTTCTAGACTGATTCAGTTGCCCCTTCCAAGAAGCTTTCCTAGACTTCCCCACTGCAGAAGGCCCCTTCCTCGTGCTGGGCCTCCCATCACTCTGCACACCTTCGTTCATCATGGCACATGTGCTGGGCATTACAGCAGGGGCTCTTCCAACCAGGGGCAGGGTCTTACCCAGTGGTTAACCAGAGCTCAACTCAGAGCAGACTGTCAACATGAATGAATAAGTGGATGAATGAATGAGCTAACGAACTGCCTATTCCAAATACAGAAGCTTTATTGATACAACCGAGGATAAGAATGAGTTACAAAGGGCAGGTGGGGGCTGAGGATAGGCTCCAAGAGTCCCGAAGGTCTTAACTCTATTATGTGTTTTCCGGAGACCCCTCATTTTCTTTCTTCCGTTCCTCTTGTTCTTTCTCCAGCGGCCCACACTGATCCTGGAAGACAGTGGGAGAAGAAGGCAAAATGTCGTGGGGGAGGGGTAGGCTGAGCTCTGGACTGTGGCACCCACCCGACCTTGGCTCCAGTCCAGGCTCTGCCACGTCTGAGCTGGGTGACCTTAGGCAAGTCATTCTCCTTTCTTAGCCTCAGCTTATTCACCTCTAAAATGGGGGCTCAATCCCTCAAGAACTGGAATTTACTGAGCACTTACAACCAGCCAAGCCCTGTGTGTTGATCCGGATTTCTCGCCACCATTTTGCAGATGACGTGATAGGCTCAGAGTGGCCATCTGGCCTGTCTGAGGTCCCCCAGCCAGTCAGTGAGGGTGGCAGGCTACAGGGGATTAACTCCAGTGCCCATGTTCATAAGCCACTTCCCAGGGTTCCCAGGAGTGGGGTTACGATCTGAACCACTGGTGGTCACAGCAGATTAATCTCAAGTGGCAAACAGACGAAAACATTTTTATTTTAATAATCATGAAAGTATGTCATGTATATCCAAAAAAGCGTAACCAGCTCATCAGCTCTGTGATTTCAGATATGGCTGCATAGGACAAGACCAAGGAAAGCCTTTCACGTAACGGGTTTAAAGGAAAGTACTGAGTAATTCTGCTATAGTGAAAATCGTGGTGGCAGTCCTGGACTTGCTGCAGTTTGGGTGATGTTGGAAAGCACAATGCCAGCTCCCTATTGCACGGTGTGGTAGGCGGTTGTGACTCTCCCCATGTGAGATTCCCCAGGCGTGTATCTTTCCCAAGTCCCCCGCCACCATACCTTGGCTATACTTGGTTTCCTTGCTGTCAGCCTTCCCCATCTTCCCAAGCTGCTCCACGCATCCTCCCTGATTTCCCAGTGAGTCCTTGCTGGGCTCGTTCTCCCCACCCCCGCCCCACCCGCCACCGGCCTCTGTGGAGCTCAGCTGTCCTTGCAGTCAGGCGGGCACTTAAAAGCTGGATCTCGCACCTCTGTGGGAGCACCCTCAGGTGGGCACGGCCCAGATCTCTGTGCACTCACCTTTTTCTCGTCGGTGTACATGATTTCTGACTTGTCCATGCCCATGCACGTGATGGTTTCGTAGAACTCTCTCATTTGTTCCTGGGTCGCCACAGGCTTGTCCACTGTTTGAGGGAGCAAGGGGGCTGATGAGGATTCCAGGGGTGCTATGGGAGGCCAGGGAGGGCTGGGAGCTTGGGGGTCCAGCCTCAAGAGTGAGTGGTCATGGGGGGAGGCCTGGGTGGGGTAGGAGTTTAGGGGGTACTCACCATTGAGGGACAGACCCATGTTCTGCTTGTCTTCTGGGTAATTGACGATCATGAAGATCCCAGGGTCCTTGGTGAACAGCAGGTAGCCAGTTACTTCTTCGCCTGCCTCTGGAAGAGAAAGCCACCTGGTGAGATCACAGGGAAGGCCCAATGGTTCCTTCCTCACAGGCAAAGGAAATCTAGGTGTTCCCAGGGCCACACAGCCGATCGGTAAAGGCCAAGGGTTCACCTAGGCCGCGTGTCGCTAGCTCCCACTGTGAGCTAGGCCCTGTGCTGTGCACCTACGTGCGTGGAATCAGAGGAGCTTCATATGAACTGTGGCTGTCAGGGCCTTTCTGTCCGTCTTACCGGTGAGGAAAATGAGGTCTAGAGAGGAGCCTCAGGGCTCCTAGGTGGTGTGCGTTCAATCGCATTGGCATTGGTGTGTGTCTACTATGTGCCCTCTCTGCAGTTATGGGGGAGACATGGGTGAAGTCACTGCCTGCCCAACAAATAGGCTGCCACTCTTAGCTCCCAGAGGATAATAAAGGGCGGTTGAGAGGCAGAATTAACCTTGGGGTTGAATCCTAGTTCTAAATGCTAGCCGTGTGATCTCAGGGAAACTACTTGACATCTCTGTTTCTCCATTTCCTCATCTGATTAATGTCCTCTGAGGGTTGTTTATGAGTATTAAGTGGGTTAATTCATGTAAAGCACTTCAGACAGTACCTGGCACACAGTAGGAGCTCAAGAATGTTGGCAGTTGTTATTATGTCAGTGTGCAGGCGCTGGGCCCACGGGGATATAAGAAGTAGGCCTGTCCCATGTTCTCTGTGCCAAAGCCCTTAAGGCGCTAGCCCCAAGTTCCCTCCTTTAGGCTGGCCCAGCCACCGTCTCCCCATTCCACACTGCAGCTCTCCCCCTGAGGGCTCACCGTATTTGGAGAAGGTCCCATTTTCCCATTGGATCTTCAGGTTGCTGGTGTTATAGATGCACTGGTTCTCACTAAGGCCAGGCAGAAAAGGGGGAAAAACCAGTAAGACAGTGTAGGAGAGGTGGACAATCACAGTCCTTGAGGGGCAAGAGTCAGGTGGCAATTACAGTCAGCCCTCTCCATTCCATGGATGAGAAGGCCGAGGCCAGGAAGAGGGTGGGTCTTGTTCAAGGTCATCTGGCAGCTAAGAGCAGAAGCCAGAAGCTGGGGGTAGGCGTGAGCTGGCATACGCAGGTCTTACATGGTCCAGTACTCTCTGACCAGTACTGTGTCTTCCGTATAGTTGGGGGCAAGGTAAAAGAAGACTGACTGCAACATGCTGGCTGACTTCTTAAACTCAGGGCGGCGGTAAGCTGAGGCGATATAAAACCACTTGCCAGTAATCTGTGGAGAAGCCAGGGACAGATGATGGAGGCTGGGAGCTGAATTCTTGACAGTCAGCTTGGAGGAGATTCGGGCAGATCTCTCCCTCCATTTGGCAACCGGGAGACTGGAGCCCCCAGCTAGGAGTGGGCATACGGAAGCTCACTCTGACGGTCAGGTGTCACTCCTACCCTCTCCTTGCCCAGTACAGCATTGACCCCTCCTAAGGAGGCTTGCAATGAGACTTCTGAGTCTGGAGGCAGACAAATACCTCTGGAGGCTGGCCAGAATCTCACCCCAGGACCCAAGGGAGAAAAGGGCAGAGTCAGGAGAGAAAGCTGACCACAAGCCAGGAGGGTAAAGGGAAACCCAGAGAGGCAGACAGCTGCGTACAGTACTCAGGCACTCAGGTACCCACCTGGTCCAGAGTGGCATTGGTGAGAGGCACCGTGAAATTGAAACACTTTGGGCTCTGGGCGGACAGCAGAGGAAGGAGGCTCAGGACTGCGAGGGCCCAAGGCAGCGCCATGCCAAGACAAGGAGGTCCCAGAATCAGGCAAACTGGTGGCTGGAGGGTGCAGTGATCTTTATAGTGAGCTGTGGGTGGGGCCCTGGAGACTGGCTGTGACGCAATCCAATGATCGTTTGGGAAATACGCTCTTGAGAAATGTCACACTCCCTGACCTTGAGACAAGGGCCAGAAATGTTGGCTGTTCAAAACCAAGGCAGATATGATATTATCTGGAATGATGTTAGTTAATGCTAATTTCAAGAGAGGGGCCTCTAGGCAAGCACTCATGTTTTCATCCAGTACCTGTCTCACTGAACAGCAAGATTTAAGAGGGACCCAGCCATAAATCAAATGCTGAAGGCATCTTAGAGTTGCCAGGCTAGTGTGGAGTGTAGGGGACGATGGGGAGGGGGAGATGGAGGGGTGAGGGTGAGGGCAAATGTGGATTCACTTCCAACTGAGTGTGATAACAACTGTGAAAGAGCAAAAGTCCAGAAGGTGCCCAACCCGGTCCTGGAAGCAGGGACATTTCCCAAAAGAAAGGGGCATTAAGTCGAATGTCCATTTGCAGCAAATGTATTGCTTGAACCATCTCCCAACTTCTAAAACAGGAAATTATCTCCATGTGGTCTTTACCCGCTGCTATTTGAGCAGGGAGCTCGCCTCTGTTTTCAGCAGTAAAGTCCAATCCTGGAAATACTGTGGAATGAATGATTCTACTGCTCATTTGCATGTCTACATGATGGTATCAAATCTTTATTCACATAACTAAATATTCCCCAAAAGTATTATGGTATACTCATAATTTTGTATTCTTGTTCATGTCATACATTTTGAATATTTTTTCTTCTTTCAGTATAGTTGGTAGTTGCAATTTTAAAGGCTACATAACCTTTCATTTATTCATTTCTTAGATTATAATTTCTTTTTTCATGTCTTCTTTTGTATATCTATAGCATTTTGTTTTATTTTTCTAGTTTTATCGAGATATAGTTGTCTATAACATTTTATATTGTGACTTTTCCTCTGACGATAGGTATCCAGGAGGAACCAAATTGCTTCCTAAAATTACTATACCATTTAAGAGAAAGAAAAGAATATGTCACGTGTAAGACTTTAGCATTATTCAAGGTAGCCAAAAACTGAAAACGAGTCAAGGGTCAGTCAACAGGAAAATGGAAAAAGAGTTTGTAGCATTTTCATACAATGAAATACTTAACAAGTAAAAGGAATGAATTACTGATGTTACGAAAAAATCCCAAAAGCTCCAAAAATCAGATCAGCGCAAATCCAAGCAGGAACCCAGAGAGAAAGAGAAGTCAGTTTTATTAACGCTGGCGGTCCCAGAAGAGCTAGTGCTCTGAACATCTGGGCAGTGAGCTTAGGGGCAATTTCGCTTTTACGCCCGGTTGTTACAGCTGGCACGGGCTGATTTACAGACCCCTGAAATTGCTATGGGCTACGGGCAGTTACAGAGAGCAAGGGATTTTTCAAACAGGCACTAAGGCAATACATCTTTTCAAACTAAAGCAATACAAGCACTAAAGCGATACGTCTTAAAGGGAAAGGATCTTTGGCCTATGCAGCAAGCATGTTTACAGAAGCAGAGCAAAGGACTCATTAGAAATGTTGGCCATTTAAGTGGGAAATTCCTCTTCGCTGCTACGTGTACCAACATGAATGAATCTCAAAAACGTTATGCTGAACCTTCGCATTATGAATAGATTTTAGTTTTTCAAAAATTTGGAATGAGATTTAACCCATTAATTAAACTTCTAAAACTTAAAATTTTAAAGTCGGCTTTATTTAAATACTTCTAATTTATAATGTTTAAGTATTTAAACCAGTAGTCTGTGGGCCTCCATTTGTCCAGATGCAGAAATGCTAATGGCAGCCTGCATGGGAGAAGGGTGAACAGGGAGAATCAAGCAAAGAGCAAGGTTTGGTCCTTCTTTTCTCCAGAGCAATTTAGCAATGACCTAACTTGCATGTCACCAGAAGCAAAACACAGACAGTGAGTGTGATACAGACAGTGAGTGTGATATAGTAAGAAATATAGATTTAGTCTTTACTTCCATTTCCTGGCTCCTAAAACTCTTGGAACTTTCAAAGTGATAAGTGTCTTTTTTTGTGTGCTAATGAGATGGCAGTGTCTGGGGGCTCCTGAATAGGCTCCAGATGGAGGCTGGTTACCAGGGGAACCAACCTTGTGATTAGATGCTTTAGAGGGTTGGAACTTTCAGCCCAGACCCCTCCGACCTCTGGGGAGGGAACTGGGGCTGGAGATTGAGTTGGTCACTAACAAATGGCCAATGATTCAGTCCATCGTGCCTGCATAAGGAAGCTTTCATAAAAATCCTAAATGACTGGGATTGGAGAACTTCCAGGTTGAGGAACACATGGAGGTAGGTGCTGGGTAGGTGGCTCATTCAGAAAAGGTGCGGAAGCTCTGTGCCCCTTCCACAAAACTTGCTCTATGCATGTCCTGTTTCTGAGTTGTATCCTCTTATAATAAACTGGTAATCTAGTAACTAAACCATTTTTCTGAGTTCTGTGGCCTTTTCTTACAAATTGCCAAACTCGAAGAGAGAGTCGTGGGAAGCTCTGATTTACAGAATGCCAGTCAGAAGCACAGGGGACAACCTGGACTTGTGATTGGTGTCTGAAGTGGAGACAGTCTTGTAGGACTGAGCCCTTAACCTGTGTATCTAATGTTAATTCCGGTTAGTGTCAGAAGTGAGTCGAATGGCAGGAAATCCCGTTAATGTCTGGAGAGTCAGAGATTTGCTTGGTGTGGTAGGAAATCCACACATCTGGTGGCCAGAGTACTGTGAGTAGGATTTTTACCTTACTGTGAGTAAATAGACTGCCTCTCCTGGGAAGGAGTGAATGGTCTTCGCCATCCTCACTCCCGTCACTCCCTTTGGGGGCCTCATTCTTCTCCCAAGATGGTATCCAAACAGTTCCTTCAAGTAAAACCAGCACTCGCCCTGAAACAGTATAATTTTCTCCATCGTCTTAAATGTCACAGATGCTTTAATATCTCTATGGACTGAGGTTCTAGGCAGCCCTCCTTAGCCTGCCCTTCCACCTGGCCCTGGCAAAACATCAAGAGGGGTTTGGCAAGAAAGAGACAGAAAAGCCATCAGGGCAGTGTAGCATGGTGGTGAAGTGTTGTCACGGCTCAATCGCTTGCTAGCTGTGTGACCTGGCACAAGTTACTTAACTTTTCTGTGCCTCAATTTTTCTACCTGTAAAATGGGGATGATAATAGTACCCACTTTACTGGGTTGTTATGAGGACTAAATCAGTTCACATTTGTAAAATGCTCGTTAAATGGAACAAACTTGCTCCTAAGGGTCCGCTTATTAAAATAACCATCACCATCAGTTTAATAAGCTGGGGTGGGGAGGAGAGATATATGCCCGCATTCCATAACTGCTTCAGTGATTGCAGGTTACATCTCATTTCCAAAGGCATCAAAATGCAAAGTCTATAGCAGGTGTAAGAAAATAGACATTTTCCCCATTAGATGGATGAGGAGACTGATGGCTCAGAGAAGTAAGGTGATATGGCGAAGAGGTAAAGCTTAGATAACCAGGGAAAGGCACCCATTTGAAAGGATTCATTTGCTGAGAAAGCCACTTTATCCATGCTTCCTCCTCAAGGCCAGGGCTGAGTTCTGAGTCTGATGACTAATTTGTGGTCTTCTGCCTGAGGAGCAACGAAGAATACATTGGCAGAGCAAACTGTTCTAATTAGGAACTTGGTTTTTGGCTGAGCAAATACTCAAAAAGAAGATTTACTTAAGTTCAAATCCTGTTTTGTGGTTTTGGGTAACTCATGTGACCTCTCTGGACTTTGGCTCCCTCTCATCTGAAGAGCCAAGGTAATAACACAGATCTCAGAGGGTTATGCGTGGGCTGAAAACATATCACATCCACACGGCTCCTGGTTCATGGTCAGTGTGCAAGAAATTGTAGCCACGATTATTTTGAATGGTACTGTTATTGGGTTGAACCATATGAAACTGGATTTTATAGGTCAAAAAGCAGTTGAGTATCATTTAATTTCATGTGGTTCACCTTACTGTTAGCTGTCGAACACTTTCCCTGTCCGTGGTTGGCAAACAAGGATGGGCACATCATCCCTATTTTGCAGAGGCCCAGAGATGAATGACCTGCCCAAGGCCATGCCCCCGTTAGGAATCTGAGGCTGGAATCGCCTGCCCACCTCCCCGCTTCCTGCCTGTTCCTCCCTCACTTTCCCAGCACCAGGCTGCTGGTAATTGCGAGATGTACGTGCATGGGGCTTGATTCATTGTGGACAGAGCAAACATGTGGCCCAGGCTTTCCCTTGGAGTTGGTCGGGCCTGGGCAGTCCACCTGGGCTGTTTCTTGACACTTGGTTGTGTAACAGGAGATCGGGAACTGCAGGTGCTGCTAGCCCAGGGAGAACTGCCTTCTGCCCACGACTTCCTACCTGCTCCTGCTGGGAATGAACTGTCCCAGCTGCAATAGCCTCACTGGCCAGGTCATAGAGGCCCTCCTAGAATACGGACCAGCTGAGAGTTGCAAATGTCACAGTTTTAACATAACTCTCTTCTCTTTTCCCTTGGGCCCTTCTTTCTGACTCTCTCTTCTGCTCCCATGTCTTCAGAGCCACACAGATGCTGCTTATGGCTCTGGAGCTCTAATGGTGGCTCAGACCTCTTTTCTGTCCTCCCAGCTCAGCCAGCTGCCTCTTAGACAGCTCTGCTCCAGCTCCCCATTACAACCTAAACTCAACTTGGCCAACCCAAACCCTGCTCTCCTGTGCAAGGTTGTGGCTTGTCCTAGTCCCGGCCCAGTATCCCAGGCCTCCCTATACCCTACCCTGTAGCACCATTTGAACTACTTAGTATTTGCCAAATATGCAGTGCCACCTCTGCTTCCAGGCCTTGACAGGTATTCCTTCTCCCCACAATGCCCTTCCCCATCTGGCTAAATTCTATGCATTCTCTCTCAGCTCATAATCATTTGTCATGATTAACTTTATGCGTCAGCTTGGCTGGGCCAGGGGTACCCAGATATTTGGTTAAACATTCTGGTGTGTCCGTGAGGGTGTTTTGGATGAGATTAACATTTGAATGGGTAAACTGAGCCAAGCAGATTGCTCTCCCAAGGGTGGGTGGTTCTCATCTAATCTGTTGAAGGCCTGAATAGAATTAAAAGCCTCAGTAAGGGAGAATCCCTTCTGCCTGACTGCTTGAGATGGACATGTCTTTTCCTGCCTTTGGACATGAACTGAAACATCAGTTCTTCCTGGGTCTCAAGCCTGTCAGCCTTGGGACTAGAACTATACCAGCAGCTCTCCTGGGTCTTGTGTACTCTCTGTAGATCTTGGGACTTGCTAGCCATCATAATCATGTGAGCCAATTCCCTGGAATAGATATCTTCACACACACACACACACACACACACACACCCCTTATTGGTTTTGTTTCTCTGGAGACCCTGAGTAATACAGAGTGCCGCCTCCTGACTATGCTCCCCTCCCCTGCTGAGATTGCATCAGCTATTCATTCTGTTTGCTCCCTCTGCTCCCCCAACTTGGCTTGCTGCTCTCTATTTTCCTAACCCTTAACCACACATGTTCCAACCCCTCCAGCTGCTTCCACTAGACTCACAGCCCCTCAGACACACTGCCAGTCTCTGTGGCTCCAGTGCTCACACAAGGCTCAAAATGAGCAAGGTGCTGCTGATAAACAGACGCAGAGGAAATGAAGATGAGTTCCTGCTAGCAATAGTTTAGCAAGTTTGAGTGCCTTCAACATGCTATGTTCTGAGGCTATAGCAGGAAACAAGGCATATCCCCTGCCCTCACAGAGCTTTTGATGGAGAAAACAGACAGTTAAAGTGACTGAACTTTCCCACCTGCAAACAAGAGGCATTGGTGAGAGCTGGGCAAGCTCTTTGGAGGTGACAGACCTAAGCAGATGGCTCAGACTGTCTCCATTGCATTTCTGATTGTCAAAAAAAGGAAAAGAACATCCTATCTCATTTCCAAGCTTATTTTCCAGTTAGGAAATAGCGCTGGCCTGTGATATTTGGGACTTGCGCAGGTACTTGAATCTTTAGGGAGGCTATTAAAACAGGGAGGGCCCCACTCTCACGGTTTGTGGTTCAATATCTTTGGAAAGGGGCCAAAAATATGCATTCCTAACCAGCCCCTGGGGGCTGCTGGTTCTGCCAGTCCCAGGGGCCACACTGAGAACAGCTGGTCTAATGTACATGACAGCGCCATCAACAGACTTGGGTTTGAATCACAGCTTCGTCTTGGCCTCACCAGGTGACCTCAGGTGCTTCCTTGGCTTCGGTGGCCTTTTATGTAAAGTGGGAGGGTGTACCTGGGGCTTGAGAATCTCCAAGCTTCTCCAGACTATGGCTCCTGGGCTTTGTGGATGGGACTCTTGGAGCCACAGAGGCAGCAGCTCCTGGTGCTCACCATCTGGGTAGGTGCAGCATGGGGGGCGGGGCGGGGGGAAGAAGACGCAGCTGAGTGTAAACCGAGGACCTAGAAATTTACAGCTAGTTTTCAAAACATAAAATCCCAGGTATGAATTCAATGGCTTGTGATTTGTTCTTTCTCTTAGATCTAAGGGCAGAAAAGTTCTGATTCAACTAAGGTCCCTGAGAAGGAAGACCAAAGAAAACTGCACCAAATGTCAGGAGAGATGGGGTCCGGCAGGTATGAGTATGTCCCAAATACTGAAGAGGACATACTTATACTAAAAACATATTCCCTGTTTATCTGAAATTCAAATTTATCCGGGTATCCTAAATCTGGCTAACTCTATCTCTTAGATCCTCACTCACTTCTTCCAAGACAGGTACTGCTTTGGCCTCCCATCCCTGGATGAAAAAATAAACAAAATGTGGTCTATCCATATAGAGGAATATTATCGTCATAAAAAGGAACGAAGTACCGCTACATGCTACAAGGATGAACCTTGAAAACATGGTGCTGAATAAAAGTTCAGCCCCAAAGGGTCATATATTGTATGATTCCTTTTATATGAAATATGTACAGTACGCAGAGCCATGGACAGAAAGCAGCTTAGTGGCTTTCCAGGGGCTTGGATGGAGTGTGACGGCTTCATGGGTTTGGAGTTTCCTTTTGCGATGATGAAAACATTCTGCACAACATCAAGAATGTACTAAATATCATTAACGGTAAGTTTTATGTTATGTATAATTTGACCACACTGAAAAAAAAAAAAAAAAAAAGAATTGCTCACATTAGCCTCAATATACCTCCTCCCTGTATGTTATGGGTTGAACTGTAGCTTCCGGAAGGGTGTGTCTGTGAATGTGGCCTTACTTGGAAATGGGGTCTTTGTGGATGTAATCAAGTTAAGATGAAATCGTTAGGGTGGGCCTTCATCCGATCTGACTGCTGTCTTTATACAAAGACAGGGATACAGAGACACATAGGGAGAATGTCATGTTACTCCGGAAAGAGAGTTTGAGGTGCTGACCTGCAAGCCAAGGAATGCCTAGGGCCCCCAGAAGCTGGACAAGGTAAGGAACCTCCTTTAGAGGAATCAGAGAGACTGTGGCCCTGCTGATATTTTCATTTCAAACTTCTAGCCTCCAGAACTGGGAGAGAACGCGTTCCTGTTGGTTTAAGCAACTAGGTTTGTGGTACTGTTACAGCAGCCCCAAGAAACCAAGACACTACGGGACCCGGACTCCCTCACTTTCGGCACCAGCCGCCGCCCCCAACTAAGGGGCCTTATCGCTCTCCCTGCCCGCCCAACCCCCACCACCTATAAGGGAAGCAGCAGAAGCAAGGCATCCCCGAGCATCTTCCTCTGACCCTCCAGCCCTGCCAGAAACCTCCTTCCAGGCTTTTCAAAGAAGCACGCGGCCACAGGTGTGTCATTCCATTGCCTCAGTTTTAAATATTTATTTAAAACCCAGAAGGGAAAAGGAGATAGAACCCACTGGGGTTTTAACACACTGACATATGGACAGAGACATAAATGAGGACAGCAGAAAAATCCAAGAACAAGACAGAAACCAGGTTGAGACCGGCAGCATGGGGAAACCGAGCGCTGAGATGAGGCCCGAGCTGCTACAAAAAAACGCCCTTCCGTGGGCTGGGGCCGGAGGGCGAGGGGTGCAGGAAGTGTCCGGTGGGGAGGGTAGGCCAGAGTGAGGTATTAAATAATGAAAATCAAATCCAATTCCCAAAGAAACACAACTTTAGGGGTGGGGGTGGGGGGAAGACAAATAGACTTTCACATAAAATCTCCCCTTCTATAAAAATAACTCCATAGTTAACATAACCTCAAAATCCAACCTGGATGCTGACTAGTTCGCTGATATAGGACAATTCAAGTGACACTGAATATTCCCTATCATGCCGAACTGCGAGATTCCTGTAATAATCTTTCTCCTCAGCCCACATTTACACTGGGAGGTAATGACACTGTGTTTCTACAGAACTTAATGACAATTAAAAAAGCAAAAGTGATGACTGCATCTTGAAAGGGCAAGCTCCAAGAAGGGAGGACCTGAGTGGATGGCATGAGGCTTCATGAGATGGTTCTATATTTACCTTCAAGACCAGCCCTGACCCATTGCCACTCTTATAACTGGTTTCTTCAAGGTCAAGGCTTCTCTCAGGACTCTCCAGTCTAGATCACACCCTCCAAGATAAGCGTAACTCCCCTCCAAGACCATGAAAGGCCAAGTCAAAATCCTTCAAGCTCAGGCCTTCCCCTGCTCTTAAGAGGACAAACATTTAAAAGTCCTTAAGTGAAAAGGTAAAATTGTCTACTTCTGTTTCCGGTAGGTTTTTTGTTTTTGTTTTTCTTTTTTGCTTTACTTCCTGCCCCTCTTTTTTCTCCCCCCAACCTCCTTAGTAGATTACCTGATAGAGCCCAAGGGTGATGCTAAGAAAATTTTTTAAATTTCCCAAACTTTGTCATTTGGAGGAGAGAGAAAAATGTGGAGGATAGCCCACATCAAAACGCTTCTTCAAAATCTATGGCAAAAATGGTAGCACCTTCAGAATCTTAAATAGGGTTTGTTTTTTTTTTTTCTTTAAAAAAAAAATCACATACACTATGAGACAATTGTGAGCACCAGCGATTTCACAGTGGGAGGTAGCAAACGTGGGCGCCCCCCGCCCCAAGAATCTCCATTGCTTCCCACCCCCGGCTGCTCTTTCTCACCCTCTCACCTCTTTTCCAGGTGAAAAAAATAGTAACGCACCTTCTCTGTGTTTGTTTAAATAAAATATATATACTTCTTTCTTCCTTTTCGCCTTTTTTCATGTCTCCTCTCTAATATTGCACATCAAAGCTCCCTAGCAGGGACCAGCTGACGAGATGCCCCCTTCCCTCAAGCTGGCTGGAATGTGGGGCTCTTTGGGCAGGAAGCTGGGGAGGGCGGGGGGTGGCCGCAGCGCTGGGAGACAGGCCACGGGGCTCAGGTGGGTTGCAGGCCCAGCTTGCTCTAGCTGGCTCTTTGATAGGTCTTTGGAGCTGTGCTGGGATCAATTGTCCCCAAGAACACCCCATTCCCTGCTCTTCTCTAGCCACTTCTACTGGGCAGACAATAGGGCCTGCCCTAGGATCCTTGGGCAGGTGAGCTGCCTCTTCTGGGCCCACCTGCTCCTAAGTACCCTCCCTTGCCCTCAACCTCCTCCTCTTCCCTCCCCCTCGAGGCCTAGAGGAGCCAGGAGGTCAGAGGTCAGAGGAAGCATGCAGGTCCAACTTCCAGGCGGTACTGCTTCCCTGATGAGGCAGGAGGGAGGTTGTCCACGCTGATGATGGGCAGCTGCTGGGGGTCTTGGGTCCGGAAGGTGAAGAGTGTCTGATGCCAGCGGCCATCCTGGACCTGAGAGTAGAAGGAAAAGGGGCCATACATATCCATCATGGTCCTCATCATATATCACGTGCATTTCCCCATCATCTTTCCTCACCATTTTTAATGGCCACATGGTGTTTCACCATAGCAACGACCTGTATTTGTCCATTGAGATTGCCTCTACCATTTGTATTCCTATGTGTAATGCTGTAATGAACATCATTGTACTAAACTGTTGTGCACAGTAATTATTTCCCTAGAACAAATTCTAGAAGTAGATTTGTCAGATCAAAGGATAAGGTACATTTCTAAAACTTTGGATATATATTGGTGACATATATATGTGGCTACTGTCCAGAAAGCTTCTACCAATTAATATTTTCAAAATAGCTTTCTGTGAGTGTGTTGGTTTCTCCACATCCTCACTAACATTGTATATTACCAGTTTTGTTTCACTTTGTGAAACTGATTTTTTTGGACAACTTTCTCGCTCTCTCTCTCTCCCCCCACAACAACCCACCCTGTTTTAGGCATTTAAAAATCACCAAAATGTTAAGAGAAGAAATTAGCCTGGCCAGGGTGGGGGTAGAGAGAAATATAGCCTTCTATTAGTAGTCTTGCAAATAAGTACCGTTATCTACCAGCCTATAGAATTTTACCAGCCCAGATCTCCCCTCAGAAAGTTCCCAGGGAGGAAAGTGAATAAAAGTAATTTTGTAAAACTTATAGTAAAATTATTACACAATGATAAAAATTATATATATCATACTAATATAGTATAAATTTGTTATATACAATTTTATAACAACACTTTTTTCTACTTGTCTGTGTGTGAGGGGCTCCAAGAGTTACCTTGCAGCCATCCATGGACACTTCTGGCCTGAACTGACCCCCAGCTTCAAAGATCTGCCCATTCCAAGCCCGGAAGCGTACAGCCTGCTTGGCTGGGGTCCGCCCGGTGCCCTCCTGCCACACGGTCATGTTAAGGCAGTGGATGGTGATATGCTGTGTAACCTCAGAGCTTAGCAGGTGCAGAAAATTCATCTGGACCCGGCTGACAGCAAACTCGACCTGTGGAGCACATGCAGCAGTGAGGTAGCATCAGGCCTGGCTGCCCACAGCTATTAGAATTCCTCATCTCTTACTGGAGGGCACAGGCATCAGCCCTTTTGGGTAAGCATTTCCCAATCATGCTCCCAGACATGTGCTCACTTAAAAGACAAGGAAATTGAGGTCAGTATGAGCCGGTCCACAGCCAAGGAGTGATGAGGGAGGGAAGGAACTGAGGCCTGCTTGACTCCACTGCCAGAGCTGCGAGAGTCCTGGAGCAAGCTGATCCATACCCCGCTCCATTTAGAGGAGTGGGGTCTTTGGGACTGAGCTGGGATCCAGGGGCCCAGAGAGGAAGAGGATCTTGCCCAAGATTGAGGGGCTCTAGGAGTGTAGAGGAAATGAGCAGTGCCCTTCTCATCCTTTCAAAGTCCCAAGATCCTTGTGGGGTGGGTGGGGGTGCTGCTGGGAATGGCAGGCCCGACAACGAACAACAGGACAGGACATAAGGTTGTAGTATGATCTCTGACAGTTGGGTTTTCTCTATTTTTGTAATGCAAGTACCCGACTTAAGCTTTGACCTCATCCGCTTCAAAGACAGCCATCTCTAATAAGCACATTGCCAGCCACAGGACTGCCTAAAGAGCCAGATTACCTCCCGCACTGAGGCTCTTTTGTTTTAGAGATCTTGGTTGCTTTCCATAACTGACCATTTGGGCCACTTGTCTTTTCCTGTGCTTTAAATTCCTTCTCTTACGTTTTAAATTCACCAATAGCATGAGCCCGCAGAACCTGAGGCCCCTGCACACTCTCCCTGTGATCTCTCCGTGGGACCCCAGCTGTGCTGTATAATGTCCAGGTCCTGGACATTATAGACTTTTATTTTTCCAAAGTTTCCGGAAAGGCATCTTGCAATCCTAATAAGAGCCTCAAGGGCCAGTTCAACCACAATATTGGTTCTTGACAGACTGAGACTGGCACAAAACAATGGTCCATTGTTCCCAAAGCAGATGGTGACTCGGGCAGGCAGTCATGCTGCCAACCCAGGTGCCAATTCCAGCCTCACCCCTCCGCCAGCTGGGTTTGCCATGTGGCCCCCAAGTCTGACAGAGAAGGACCTGCTGGATCGTGAGCTCTGGCTATGGAGCCAGCTGCGAGGCTGCTGTGTTTTGTATTAAGTCCCAGCACCTGGCTCAGTGCCTGGCACATGGTAGGAACTTGACTTGTTGACCAGCTGGCTTGCCTAGAGAGTCTTAAACTCTGGCTGTGAGATGGTCAGCGTAAGGCACCCCCTGGAGCCTCCCTAGGGGACCGATGGGAGGGGATGCAAGGTGCTCTGGGTCCCTGCCTCCCCTGCAGCATGCATCGTCCCATGTGCAGGACTTGCTGCAAGTGCAGACCCACAATGCACTGTGGGGTTCCCTGGCTGGGAGAGTGGCCCATTGTTGAGTAGCCCTGAGCCACCTAAAATTCTTAGCCCAGAGACAGGCACCTGGTAAGTGGGCAGCGAACACTCGTTTAATATTTGCACACACAATTCCAGCAGCATGTCTCAGGGGGGCCTCACGCTGACTTATTTTGTGCTGATGGCTCATGGTCCTCCAATCTAGGCCAGCTTGGCCAACTATGCCGTTTTAGGTATGTAGGCAGAAAGTTCTATTTGAAGAAAGAACCATTAGCATCATATAAGTCAAAAGTGGGTGGAAACCACAGATTTAGAACAATTCATCCCTAACTTGTAGGTGAGGAAACCGAAGTTTAGAAGGAAGGGATGATTTTCCCAAGGTGGGCTGTGGCCCCGGGAAGGGTGGGGGGAGAGTGCCGGCCAGTAGGGAACAGGAGCAGACGGGTACCTTGGAGGCCGTGATGGGCTTGAGACACGTCTGTCCACCATGCGTGAAGTTGCAGGAGACTTCGATGGTGTCGGACGAGCAGCCAAGGTTTGGATCCACCCAGTAGGTGCCTACAGGAAGCATGGGATGGTGGTGTATATATGTGGGGAGGAGCCCAGACTTGGTTCTATAGGTGGACCCTGCACCTTGTGACCTGCTGAGCCCCAGGTGGGCATGAAGTCAGGGAGTGGGGAGCAGAAAAGGCATTCTGTGACCACAGATCTCTAAGCAGAGCTCACAGCTGATAGAGCCCCCAGAGCAGCACATAGCTGAGTACTTGACCTGTTGCTATTGGGAAATGTCCATTTTACAGAGGGGACAACTGAGGCTGAGAGGATGAGCCACTTGCCCAAGGGATTTAGGGGTCATCTAGAATGATTTCTCCACCGAGGTAGTGATCCTTCTGGGGCTGGCTAGGGATGGGCGGAAGTCAGGGCTTTTCTGCCCATCAGCCAGGCCCCTCTGCAGGCATCTGGTTTCCCCATTGGGCTTCCAAGGGAGTCAAAGGCCCCACAGCTGAAGGAGCGGGACACCTGGCCACTAGTCTGCCTCTCGTGCAGTGGAGGGAGAGGGGCTCAGGGCAGTGTGGCAGCTTGCCCCAGCTCACAGAGCTGGTCAGAGGCAGGGCTAACATTCAAACTCAGGCCTGTCTGTCCCCAAAGCTGTGGTCCTTCCATGGTACCACATCGGCTCACACGAGAGAAGAGAGTTGGATGAGGTGCGGAGCACACCCGCCACCCCAGCCCCATCCTCTCCTTGCCCCTGGATGCTTCTTCTGCCAAGGCTCTTGTCTCCTTGCACTGAAATGGCCTTCCCCAGCTTGGTATCTGTGGGCTCTGGAAGGATGAAACTGCTCCTCGGTGTTTCTCACTGTATCCCCACCGCCCAGGAAGCACAAGCCTTGGCGTATTGAGGATCAGTGACTGTTCATGGAGTGAATAAATGATGGCCCGTGTGCCTATCTCTCTAAGGACAGAAACTTGGTCAGGATGAGCCAAGGCTCGAACACTCCATCTCCCCCAGCTCCTCCTGGACCCCCCTAGCCCCCCGCCAGCCCTGCCCTGGGGACAGGAAGGGCCTCTTTTCAGACCCCGCAGGCCCTCGTACCATCAGCCATCTTCTGCTCACAGTCCATGAGGTCCCGGCAGACCCGGGCGGGGTTCTCTTTGGTGCCCAGGGGCATCTTAATGCTCTGGATGAGGCTGCTGAGGTAGTGTAAGGTTTTAAAGATCTCCCCTCCCTGGTCCAGCACCAGCCGGTCTGGATGGCTGTAAACCTATCGTGAGGAGAGAGGGTGGCCATCGGCCCCTTGAGGTTCTGGCCCAGCCCAAGGTTCTTGATACTTGAGAGACATCTCTGAGTCCCCAGGGGCACGGCTGGGGCGGGGTTGGGCATTCTTCCACTTAACAGACAAAGAAACTGGGGGACAAAGATGGACAGAGGAATGGGGTCTAGAGACCTGAGCGGAGTAAGGGGTGAACCTGGTCTCTGGGCGGGACGGGCAGGCCTCCGTGAGCGAGGCAGACAAGGTGTGCAGGACACCAAGGAATGGTCCCTCATCCTTCCAGAAGGGGTTGGGGAGAGGGCCGACGGGGCATCAGCTTTCCCTGGCATCCAGCTCAGGGACCAAGCAGAAGTGTCTACAGGAGGTCTGAGCTGGGACAGGCGAAGTTTCCTATCTTGGGAAGAAGGCAGCAACGGGCGCTCCCGACAGGGGCTCGACTAGAGGACGCCTGAGGGCTTTCTCAGCCTGGGGTCTTGGAGCTGAGTTGACCACAGGCCAGGGGTTTAGCAGAGCCCTAGGGGACGACCATGAGCTTCCTGCTCCTGGTAGACAGTGGGACTGAACTTCGGGAAGGTGCTGTGGGCTGAGGCCAGGTGAGCATCTCTTCCTGACTCAGGCCAGCAAGAACTCTGACACCCAGAGAGGGCTTTGGAGGAAAGCAAAGGGGCTCAAGGACTGGCTTTGTGACTCTGGACTTGTCACCATTCACTTTGAGCCTTAGCAACAACCCTCCCGCATATATGGTTGCGAGATGCCAACAAAGGCTATGAAATACTCAGCGCAGGCCACGTGGAGGGCACTGACCACACGTGAGCCATTACTATTTCCCCGGGGCAGGCAAACCGTGTGGGCAGGGCTCTGGCGGTACCTCTGCTCTCAATGCTCCATTAGTGTCCATCCATGTCTGGAAAGCTGCCCCAAGGTCATCTTGTTGCTGTGCAGGGAACAGACAGGGTGTGTATCTTGGCCCCCCAGACCCAACAAGCAGGAGTGCCAGGGTCTGAGCACAAGCTCTCCCACCTGCCTTCCCCAGCAAAAACGTGGCCAAGTCACCATGCCCTCTGTGGAACTCCATCCTTCCTCCCCACCCGCCCTTGCAAACAGAGTCAGAGCCGGCCCTTCCACTCCCTTCCTCCAGGTACTTTGATAGCTCTCCATTGCCCTCAGGATTAAGTCCAAACTCCTCAACGTGGTTACCGGACCTGGCCTGAGTGATGTGGTCTCGGGCTGCCTCTTTCCTCTCTCCCACATCTGCTCTATGCACCAGACACACTACTGTCCTTCTAAATTCCTAAGCGCCATGCTCTAGCTAGCCACGGAGACTTTGCACATGCTGCTCCCAATCCCTGGAACACTCTTCCTCCCTCCGATGTTCCATCTGGCTAACTCCTGTTCCCCCAGTACTCAGCCAGGGGCAATGTCGCCCCCTAGAGGACATTTGGCAATATCTAGAGACATTCTTGGCTGTCACAGCTGGAGGAGGGGCTGCTACTGGAATGTAGTTGGTAGAAGCCAGGGATGCTGCTAAACATCCTACAATGCACAGGACAATCACTCCTAGCAAATGCTCATCTGGTCCCTAATGTCAGTAGTGCTGCAGTTGAGAAATCCTGCCCTACACTCATGCCACAGATGTTAGCTGCAGTGGGAACTCTTTCCTGATGCTTCTGCCCCCGGGCTGGGCATGGCCACCTTTCCCTATATTCCCACAGTCCCTAGTTTCTCCTTGTACCATAATTGTCTAACATATACTTGAACCTCCAACCCTCACACTGGGCTTGCCAGAAGTCTAGTTGCGGTCTTGCCATGAAAACCATGAGGGGCAGAATCTGACAGTGAGTAAAGCCCAGCACTGGGATCCAGAGCTGGAACTCTGGAGGCAGTACTTCTCAAGTTCAAATCCCAGCCTGGCTACTTATTAACTGCATAATCTAGGGCAAGTTGCTTAACCTCTCGGTCTCAGTTCTCTCATCTTGAAAATGGACATGACGATAAAACTGATAATGAACTGCTGAGAGGAATAAATAAGTTTATACATGAAAAGTACTTCTAATGGTGTCTGGCATATAACAACACTCAATAGATGAGGTTAGTATTTAAAAAATTTAAAGTCCTCTAATTTTTCAGTGTTTAGAGGCAAAGAGTTTTTCCTGGATCTCTTTGCTTCCTCTTAGCGGGCTTCCTTATTGAGGAGAGGCCTGGGGGAAGGGTAGAGGAGAGGCCAGGGCTGTCATTCTGTTTTTGCGGACGAGGCAGAAGGACCACTGAGAAGCTGAGAGGAGAAGAGCAGAGATTCTGAGTGGCTCATGGCCCAAGGATTCCCGCTCCATTCAGTCTTCCCCCCGGGGCCACTTCCTGGGATGCCATCAGGGCCTGCTGGTCCTCCCGGGTCAATCAGCACCGTGGCGAAAAAAGGCAGGACTCCTCAGAGGGCTTGGGAGGGAGCCATGCTTTCAGACAGGGCCGCAGTCCCCTGGGAGGAACGCAGGGGTCCTGATCTGCACCCTCTCTGGACTCAGATCTGATATGGAAGAATCCTCAGCAATCAGCTGATCTGTCCAGAGTGAACCAACAGGACTCAGGAGCCCGGTGGTTTGAGTGTATTCCAGGGTTCACAGTCAGAGACACACCCCAGGCAAAACCTGGGTTTCCTGCCTCCCGGCCCAGGGCTCTTTCTGCTGCTTCAGGGCCCAGGGTCCAATATGGAGTGACAAAAGGACATGGGCATTCCTAGGCCCAGGTTAGGGTACTAGCTACTATGGCCAGAGAGGGGTCAGCTGACAAACTACCCCCTTCCTAGGCCTCACCCAAGTAGAGAAAAGAGAATGTTCTCCAACTTACGAAGTGGATAGGGCTCCCTGGAGGACCCTGAAAAAGAAGAGTCTGGGTCAGTATTTGATGGGGACTGGGTGCTAGAGTCCTGGGGGCTGTCAGGAGATTAGAGGGACTATCAGGGCATGAGGACACACCAAGCTGGTCTCTGCTCTCCTGGAGGCCTGGCCTCACCATGGATGCTCTATATTCTCCTAGAAGTCTGTATGCTACAAGAAGCTTACGAGCCCTATAAGGTCAAGGCCAAGACAAGTGTCTGCCGGCAAACCCTTGGGTCTCATTCAAAGAAAGCCCACCTCCTGCCCCAGTTCAATGAGCACCAAGCGCTCTGTTACCTACCGGTGGGCCAGGTCGTCCTCTGGGGCCGGGAGGACCCTGGAGGAAGAGGAGAACAGTGAAGCCCTAGTCAGAGGCCTTCATCCTCCCCACTCCAGGGCTCCTGGAGGAGATGAAGACGTAGGGACAATGGCGACCGTGGCATAGATGGATACAGGTGGGATGAATGAAGTCTAGGATCCCACTCCCCCATCCTCCAGCCCTCGCACCCCAGCCCACTCACCCTCGGACCTTGCAATCCCTGGAGGGAGACAGAAGCAGGGAGGGAGAGTTAGGGGACCAGGACTGAACTGTGCTCCTCACTCTCCATAGCACTGCCCCCCAGCCCATCCACTTACCAAGTTCCCTTGGCTACCTTTGTCGCCCTTCGGACCCTGCAATAAACCAAGGCCAAGTGAGAGAGAAAGCTCAGAGGGAAGCCCCACTTCTCAGATGGGAAACTGAGGCTCAGGCTAGCCCTGGGTCACAGAGACAATCTGGAGCCAGAAAGGCAAGGGGAACCAGCAGTCTTTGGCCAACCTCTTGCACATACCGGGCGTCCTGAAGGTCCCAGGATTCCAAGGGGCCCAATGATGCCTTCCTTTCCCTAAAGGAGAGAAAAAGGCTTATGTGTCCTTGTTCCTGGGCCTGGGGAATAGTCACAGGGACAGGAGGGTAGAGGGCAGCCTGAATGTCCCAAGGGAACACAACGAAGACGTCTTGAAGCAGGGGCCAGGCCAGGCACCTCCTGAGCCTGTGCCACGTTCCTTGGGGTGGGCTACAAGAGTAGGGGGAGGGGAGCAGGCGAAAGGGAGGAAGGATGGCAGCCTGTCTGGCAGGAAATGCATAAGCAAAGGTATGGATGTGGGAGGGGAGACTATGGGCAGAGAGGGGCTCACGACTGATGGAGGAGGAAGAGGACATGCATGTACCCAGCCGACGGCTGGCCGGCCTTGGACCTGGGTGATTGTCCCTGCTGAGACAGAGAAGCGGGGGACTCACCATCAAGCCAGGAGGCCCCCGAGGGCCCTGGATGCCTTTGAAGCCAATGTCTCCAGGGGGGCCCTGCGGGGAGGCAGAGGAGAGTGTCCAGTGGCCACTGGAAGAGGCCCCAGCAGCAGCCCACCCCTGGGGTCTGGCCAACCTTTGCCCTCCCTGTCAAGAGGGGCCTTGCCTGAGAGACCCCAGAAACAGTAACACATGTCGACAATTATTAACGGGTACCAATGTGTAGGCTCAGTGCTGTAGGGGTGTGTCTCTGGTCTTATTACAACAATGCTCTATTGTTATATGCCTATTTTATTTTTATTTTTATTTTATTTTATTTTTTTAGGCGAGGTAACCTTTGGTTGACCTCACAGATTGCAAGGACCTTATCAGTTTACAATCCCTTCTTTTTTTTTTTTTTTGGTTTTATTTTTTGTTTTTTTATGCCTACAGCACCTGGTCTTCCTAGGTGGTCTCCCATCCAAGTACTAACCAGGCTCGACCCTGCTTAGCTTCCGAGATCAGACGGGATTGGGCGTGTTCAGGGTGGCATGGCCATAGACTTACTATGCCTATCTTATAGATGAGGGAACTGAAGCTTAGATAGACCAAATGACTTGCCTGAGACACACAGCACATAGGTTGGCCAGAATGCGAGCACTAGAGAAAAGGATGCTCATGCTTGATTCTGGCTGTGTACCAACCCATATTGTAAGTGCTCGAGAAACAATTGTTGAATGAATAATGAACAAATGAACGAGTTGGTGGATGGACGGGACCCCAACAGGAACAGTGTGGAGTGGAAGTCTGTACCTTAGGTCCAAAGAGGCCAGCCATTCCTGGAAAGCCCATCTCACCAGAGTCACCCTGAGGGGAGAACAGGATGAGATAGGGTGAGTGGGGCTAGGATAAGGGTGCCTGGCCAGTCACCCAGAACCGCTGGGCCTGCCTTCTCCCAGGGATATCAGCTATCATGAGACGATCAACTGAGTATGAACAGTTCACAAACTAGATTGCCAGGTCAGACTGGGCTCTCAGGCTGTAGGAGCCTGTGCTCTCTGTCAGATAAGAAAGTAGAAGCCAGCTCAGGGATTCCATGAGGAAGGAACACTCTAGAACACCCAGAATCTCCTGTCTCAGGTCTTCAAGGAAGAGGATGAAAGGATCCACAAACTCTTCCCAACTCATCTTGAAAGCACTATTAAGATATGATTCCCTAAAAGTAACCCCATTAGCTGATGGTTCTTTACATGCACCACCATGCATGCATGTTCCCACATCAGCCTGCGGAGGCACAATATGCCCTCTTCACATATGAGAAATGGAGGCTCAGAGAAGTCAGGAACTTGCTCAAAGTCACATAGCCGTTATATTGGAGAGTGTGCTAGATCTAGATGGGAATGATTCCAGAGGCCTGGCTAATATGGTAGGTGTATGCTTATCTTTTAAAGAAACTGCCCAACTGTTTTCCAGAGTGGTCTTAGCAGTTTATATTCCTATTAGCAGAGTATGAGTTCCAGTTGCTCCACATCCTTGTCAACAGTTGGTATGGTCACTCTTTTAAAAATTTCACCATTCTAATAGGTGTGTAGTAGCATCTCATTGTGGTTTTAATGAGCATTTGTCTAATGACTAACGATGCTGATCTTTTCATGTACTTATTTGCCATCCATATATCTCTTTTGAAATGTCTATCCAATCTTTCATCACATTATTTTTTATTGGGCTGCTTCTTTTTAGTTTTGAGTTTTGAGAGTTCTTTGTATATTCTAGATATGAGTCCTTTACCAGACAAATGATTTACAATTTCTCCTAGTTCGTGGCTTGTCTTTTTATTCTCTTAACAATGCCCCTTGAAGGGTCAAAAGTTTTAAATTTGGATGAAGTCCAATTGATCAGCTTTTCTTTTATGAATCATGCTTTTGGTAGCATATCTAAGAAATCTTTGTATAACCCAAGGCCTCAAAGATTTTCTTCTACGCTTTCTTCTAGAAGTTTTACCATTTTAAGCTCTACATTTGATGTGATCCATGTTGAGTTAATTTTTGTCCGTGGTATGAAGTAGTCAATTTTTCTAGCACCATTTGCTGAAAAAGACTATTCTATATCTACTGAACTGCTTTTGTGCCTTTATCAAAAATCAGTTGTCCATATACGTGTGAATATATTTCTGGACTCTCTATTCTGTTCCTTTGATCTATTAGTATAGTTATGGCCCTACCATACTTTGTTGATTACTGTAGCTTTATAATAAGTTTTGAAATCAACTGCTGTTAGTCTTCCAACTTTGCTCTTCTTCTTCCAGGTGGTTTTGATTATTCTAGGTCTTTTGTATTTCCAAATGAACTTTAGAATCTGCTCGTTATTTTCTTCAAGAAAAGCCTGATGGGATTTTGACTGGGATTGTGTTGAATCCATAGGTCAACTTGAGAAAAACTGACAACATAACAATATTGAGTCTTTTGATCAATGAACACGGTGAATATCTCCATTTATGTTGATCTTCTTTAATGTATCTCAGCAATGCTTTATAGTTTTCAGTGTACATATCTTGTATAGCTATTGTTGGATGTATCTCTAAGTATTTCATATTTCTATGCTATTATAAATAATATTGCTTTTTAGATTTCAAATTCTGATTGCTTGTTGCTAGAGTATAGAAATACATTCACTAGTGCATATTGAATGTATAGAAATACATTCACTAGTGCATACCTCCCACTGGTATCCTGCCATTTTGCTAAACTCACTTATTCTAGTAGCTTTCTTGTAGATTCCATCGATTTTCTACAAAGACGATCATTTCATCTACAAAGGAAAAGTTTCACTTCTTCCTTTTTGATATGAATGCCTTTTATTTATTTCTCTGGCCTTGCTGCATTGGCTAAAACTGCCAGTACAAAGTTGAATAGAAGTGGTGAGAGCAGATATCTTTGATTCGTTTTTCTCTTTGGATGTGAAGGAGTCAATGCCAGACACACGAGCTGGGCCTGGGCCAGAAGGGGGAAACTGCTTACCACAAACCCCCTTAGGGACTGTCTGATAGTACTCAATGTCCATTCTGACATAAATCAGCACCCCTCCCACACCTCCCACCGTGTGCTGGTTCCTGGAACTGGCTGTTGTCCTTACCTGGTCAAGCATGTAATTTCTTGTACCTGGTAGCATCACGTACTAGTGATTATGACTGTTCTTCTATTGGCCCTATATTATTCTTTGGTACCTGCCAAGAGGCACAGAGATCCATTTCGTCTCGCAGATGCCCAAGACACGCCTCGTAAGTAAGTTTCTCTTAATGAACTCTATTAATCACCACATTAGAGGAGCCAGCCTCTTTCTTTGGTCCCTCCCTGCTCTCCACTTATAGAGGTAGATTTTCAGACCTGAAAACTTTCTCAAGGTCTTCATGAACTGACATTAGGAGAAAACTTTGTCATTCACTATTAAGTATGATGGTGCCCTTTATCAAGTTGAGGCAGTTCCTTTCTATACCAAGGTTGCTGAGATTTTTTATTAGAAATGCAGTTGCATTTGTCAAATGATTCTCCTGCATCTACTGAGATGATTCAATTGGTTTTCTTTTTTAGTTTGTTAATATGGTGAATCATATTGATTTATTTTCAAATGTTATACCATCCTTGCATTCTTTAGCTAAACCTCTCTTGATCTTGATGTACTTATCTTTTTTATAGTCTTAGATTTGTTTTGCTAAAATTGTACCAAGAATTTTTTAAAATTTTATTATTTATGCCTACAGCACGTGGTCTTCCTAGGTGGTCTCCCATCCAAGTACTAACCAGGCCTGACCCTGTTTAGCTTCCAAGATCCTACATTGGGCTTCTTCAAGGTGGCATGGCCGTGGACGACGGACCGTGGCTCCACTGGGGCATGAACCCAGGACCTTCTGCATGTAAAGCAGACATGCTAACCACTACACTATGGAACCACATCCTGTACCAAGAATTTTTGTATTTATATTTATGACATATATTGTTTTCTTCTTGTAATAGCTTTGTCTGACTTTGATATCAGGGTAACGCTAGCTTTATAGAATGCATTGGAAAGTATTCCCTCCTCTTCTATTTTCTGAAAGCAGTTATGCAGAATTGGTACTATTTCTTCCATAAACATTTATTAGAATTCACCAGTAAAGTCATCTGAGCCCAGGGTTTTCTTTGTCGGAAGCTTTTAAACTACAGGTTAAATTTCTTTAGTGGATATAAAGCTATTTATCTGGTTGTGATCCATCTCTCCTCACTCTGAAAGGACCACTCAGATCTCATTTCTCAGCTTCCTCCCACCCACGTCACTCAGGGGAGGCAGAATGGTCTCTGGTATCCTGAGAGGGTGTCGCTCTGCCCTTGTCACAGAGCAGGCCAGTGGCTTCTGGGTCTGTATGTGCGCATGTGTAACATTAGTATTTGTGTGTGCATGTGAGCGTGTGAACATGTTTACTTCCTGGGGTTCACTCACCGGCTGGCCTTTGGATCCAGGCTCCCCCTGGTTCCCAGGAAGCCCTGTTCCACCTTCTGTCCCTCGCTTGCCAGGGGGACCCAGCTGCCCGGGTAACCCACTTTCACCCTTAAAGAAACACAGCAAAATGATCAGTCAAAGGGGGAAACGGTTCTAGGGAAGGGGGAGGGAGGACCTAGGAGAGACAGAACAGTCATCTCATAGGATCAGTTGAGATCTCAGGATGCTGGAGCTCTAATGTGGGCCTGGTAGGGTCTCAAAACTTCAGCGTCCTTAAACGGAAAGTCTCTTTCCTTACTCTGGCATCCAAGGTTCCCCTTCCCTTCCACTCTGCCATAGTGCCTCTCCTCTTTATGGCTTCTTCCCAACAGACCATGCAGTTCCCACCTCCACACCTCTGCTCATGCTGTTCCTCCTGTGAGATTGTCACCTCCTCTTCCCTTATTTAAATCCTCCACGGGCCAAGACCACCTCTCCCCAGCCTGCTGTCCCAACAGAGGGTTCCAACCTCTCCCCAGCTAAGCCTCTGGCTCAGGAAGGGCAAGAACCATGTCTGATTCATTCATCTCAATCTTCCTTCAGTATCTAGCACTGGGTTCAGACTAACTCATGGCTGCCGCCCCCATAAAGTCTCTCAAGGAAGCTTTCTACAAAGGTGCTTTGGAGGAGGGTCCTAGGGGCAAGCCAACATCTGTTGTTCCACAAAGTCCCACAAGAGGGTGCCCAAGAATAACTCAACAACCAGTTGAGGGCTCAAGGCCTGCTAGGGGGCAGTATTTATAGCTACCGGGACAAACTCTCCTTAAAGTCAGGTTCAAGTTTGGGACAGGAACCCCTGAGAAAGGTCAGCAACGTGGACTCCATTTTCATATAGGCCCTGGGGGGAAATGGGCGCCCACTTCAGCATTATAGTCAATATCACTATAGTTAGTAACAAGGCAGAAAGGATGGAGGATTAACAAGGGTCTGACCTTGAATCCTGGGGGCCCCTGTGCTCCAGGCAAGCCAGCCACACCTGGATTTCCTCTTTTCCCAGCAGGACCCATGGGGCCAGGGTCCCCATCATCTCCCTGCTCTCCCTGTAAAGAAGGAGGGCAAAGGAGGGTCTCTCATGTTTCAGGAAATGCAGCCAAGGAAGCAGGATGGTTCAGAGCCTGAGTGGACTCTAGGTGGAGCTGGAGGCAGGGAGGTCCAGCTCCAGGGTGGAGGTCATACTGCCTTTGTATGAGGATGGCTGGACCAGCAGGACAAGAGCCGCAGAAGACTTGCGAGTAGGGAAGGGGAGGGATCTTAGAAATCAGCAGCTCATCCACTGGTCAGGGTGCTGGCATGGAGGAGGGACAGTCAGGAGGGCCATGGTCCCAGGTCCCAGGGGATGAGACAATTGCCTACACGGGAATTTCTGGGTAAGCTGGTTTTGCCCCATCTAAGTTTCTAAACCTGCTCCTCCTGGCCCATGGCTCACGGAGGCGTTAACCACCCCCACCACACATACACACACCCCTCATCTCAAATGGACGTGCCATCTGTTAACCCCAAGTCCTGCTCACCTGCTGTCCTGCTTGACCGTCCCTGCCAGAAAGCCCATCTGGTCCAGCGACACCCTCTGGGCCCTGTCGCCCCACCACGCCCCGGGGCCCCGGCAGCCCCTGCAGGCCCTGGGGGTACACAAGCTGGTGAGGGCTTTTGGGGAGGGCAGGGTGGTGGGCAGGAGAGGGGCAGCTACGGGTCACTCACCTGGATCCCCCTCCGTCCTGGTACCCCGGCCTTGCCTTGCTTTCCCTTTGGTCCCTGAAAAATCAAGAAGCACATGACAGAGGCCACCTGGAGGAGGAACACTAGGAGCTGCAGAAGGGGGTTATCGAGCCGATCAAGGGCCCGTGTGGCTGGGCCCTGCCCTTCCACCTTCGGGGCCTCGGCATCTCAATCTGCAAATGGGCCCGAGCACCCCGGCCTGGAAGCCCAGGGGCAGCGCTGGCTTTGGAATCTAACAGTGTTGCCACTGACCTTGCCCCGGGCGGGTCCCTCACCGGCTCCCCTGCTGCAGAGGCTCTGGGGCCTTGGCAGTTCCCTGGAGGGAGCCTGAGCCCACGGCTGGCTGCAGTTTCCTCTGTTCCTCATGCCCTCCCAGCCCTGCCTCCCCCTTGCAGTGTGCTTGGGCCGGTCTTTCCCCTTTTTGGGGACTCGGTCTCCCCTGCAGACACCCAGCTCTCTTACCTCTTCCCCTTTCGATCCTTTGGGTCCCGGCCGCCCCCGGGGTCCCGGATGCCCCTGCAAACCAAGGTGAGATGACGCAAGGCAGCCCCAGGATTCTCCGCCTGAAGGGGGAGGGGTGGGGAGGGGTTTGGGGGTGCAGGCTCTGGGGGTGCCCCCAGGGTCAGGGCAGGAGAAACCAGAATGGGCTGCCCCAGGCCCTCTTGTAGGGAGCGTCCCTTTAAACTTTAAAAGGCCCAGTTCCTTAATTCCCCCATAGCTGCTCCACCCGCCTCAGGGCAGGACAGGGGACAGGAGAGGAAGCACCACTCACGGGTCGGCCCTGCTGGCCCGGATTTCCACGGAGGCCGTGTACACCCTCCTGTCCCTAGAAGCCAAGGGGAGACAGGTGAGGGGGCCCATCCTGGAGGAGGCTGGGGACTGGGGCAACTTCCAGCCTGGCTCTTCCTAGCCACGTGTCACTTCCCCCCTGAGCCTCAGCTTCCTCATCACAAAAGGGGTGAAATAATGACCCTGCCAGGGAGGATGGAGGGGAGGTGAGGAGCCCGGTGGGGACCCACAGTTCATTCAGTGGCTTGTTTCCTGTGTCTTTCTACTGCTTCTGCTGAGAGAGCCGTTCCCGGCCACAGATGGAGAGGCAGAGGCCCTCGGAGGGGAGGGGTCCCTCTTCCCAGCCTCTTCCTCTCCCTCCCTCAGGAAAGGTCTCAGACTCTTCCCCTTTCAGCGGGAACTCCACCCTGACCCCTCTGTCAGGGGGCTGCGCTTCAAGCCTGGACACTAACGGTGGGAGGAAGGGCTTGCCTCCTGGTGAGGCTGTGATTTCAGGTTGCAGGTAACAGGGGCTTGGGGCTGGGGAAAGCCCTCTTACAGGACTCTCGCCGCTGCCAGCAGGGAGGAGCTCGATACTTACAGGGTATCCAGGGTCCCCTGGCTCCCCGCGGTCTCCTCGATCACCCACAGGGCCCTGAATGACAAGGACAACAGCAAATATGGGCCACCGGGGACAGGGAAAACCCGACCTGGGCCTTGTTAGCTACACCCTCTGTAGAGCTTATGGCAGCCTCACCCCTGCTCAACCTCCTCATCTACACACAGCAGAAGGCTGGGCTCCACCTCGGCCTTGGTCTAGGGGATGGGAGTTGGGGGTGGCCTTACCCGATCTCCAGGTGGCCCAGGAGGGCCCTCAGCCGTGCCGTCCTCACCCTGCTCCCCCTGTGGACACAGAAGCAGCTTTAGGACAAACCTCCTGCTCCTGCGCATTTTAAGAATTCCAGACACTCCACACTGAAGCCAAAAGGGCTTCATCAGAGATGAAGTACAGCCTACTTAGGGTTACAGATGGGGAAGTTGAGGCCAGAACGGAAAGGGGCACACACGGGGTCAAAGCCAGACCTGGGCTTAGAAGCAGGGTTGTAGGACACAGACAATGCTCTTTACCCTCCTCACACTCGGCACCCCCAAGCTGAGGCCCCCAGGCCATGAGACCCATACAGCTCTGAGCTGAGACCACGGTCACACCCGGCTTTGCACAGGACGAGCTGCTCGAAACTTCGGTAGGTCCCCTCCTGTCTCAAGGCTCTTCTTCTCAGCTGGGGAATGGGGGTGAAGTGGGGTAAAGGAGACAATGGTGATGCCACGAGGGAGCGGTGGGGATTCCGTGAAATGATGCGGAAGCCCCCGTGCGGAATTCTGACAATTCCAGCAGCTTGCACGCATGGACGCTGCGACGGGCCGGACGCAGGTGCTCACCGAGTCCTCCCAACAACTCTAGGATACAGGAGCTATTATTATCTCCACTCTACAGATGAGGACACTGAGGCAGAGAAGTGATGTGAGCTGCTCAGCGTCCTTCAGAGTTCCTTTCTCTGACCCTTGCTAGGAGAAAGTGGACCAAGAACCAGGTTTAGGACAAACGTCCTACCTTTGATCAGAGCGCCAGAGAAGGCCCTGGGCTGCCCCGAGCTGCACTCAGCAGGGGACCAGCTTGGGGATCTTGTCAATTAGACAGTTTCCTGTCTGCAGAATGGGACTGCAATGCCTGGCAGTGCTGCTCTGAGGATCCAGGGAGGAAAGGCATGCTCAGAAGATGGCCGTGAAAACTGCCGTTGTTGATAATAACCACAGCAGGGACGCTGTGTGGCACGGATGTAGTCAGAGTTTAGAACTGAGGTCCTTGGCCACGGCAGGCCACCCTGGGCCCTGTTCACCTACAGGACAGGTGGCTGGATGCCATGAGCCAGCTACCGGGAAGATTTATGCAGAACAGCAAGTGGCAGAACCTCAGGATTCAGAATGTTCCAGCCCCGGACAACTGGTGTCACCTGCCACGGGGGCACATTCTGGGCAGGCGGCCCAAGTCAGGGCACCCCTGAGCCCCTTCACTGTGAGCAGGGATTGAAGGGAGGCTGGAGAGGCAGAAGAGAGGAGAGCTGTGCCCGGGGCTGGAGCCTGCCCCAGGCCTGACTCAGTCCCTAGGGCTGGCAGCCGGCAGCCTTGGCTAAGGGCCTCCATGGCTCTTGTGGGCAGAGATGGAAGGTGGGAGGAACTGGGCCACACGCCTAGAATGTTGTACCCGGGGGGTTGGCCCAGGGAGTGGGGATTCCCTCTCTGCCCTGCCCACTTTTTGTGGCTCTTTGTCCCACCGTGGAGTGAGGCAGCCGGACTGGGGGCCTGGGGGCTGTGTTTACCTAGGGCCTTTAGTGCACCAGGCACTGCACAAGGTGTGCTTCATATACTCTTTCACAGAACTCATACTGCACCCCTAGGCAGCTGCGACCATTGGCCCCATTTTATAGATGGGGTCGCCGAGGCCCAGAGAAGGGTCTTAGCCAAGCCCACACAGGGATCAAAGGGCAGTCTGGGCCGAAAGCCAGCTGCGGAGATCTCCCCCTCTCCCTCCACATTGTGGTTATAGTTTAATGGTGCATTTTTAGCACCAAAAAGCTGTTTGAGCCCCCTGCTACCTTTCTCCCTGTTCCTCTGGCAACCGCCTTGGTAGACACGTTCCCCACAGGGAATTTCCAAGCTGAACAGCATACTGGCTCATCTAAGTGTCTGTTTCCAGCTAGGGAAGCAGGAGGACCTGGCATCAGATAGAGTCTGAATCCTGGTCCTGCCACACTCCAACTAATCCTGAGCTACTCCCTGAGCGTTGTGGAGACTCAGCTTCCCCACCTGTCATGTGAGATACTGGTATCTCTGTGTGGGGTCATGGTGAGAATTAAGAAGAAATCCTGGGGAAAGGGCTTGCACATGGCCCTTGGGCTTCGAGGGTACCCCTGAGAGTCTGCTCTCTCCCTTCCCAGCACCACTCGGCTTGTGGCTGGCTATTCATTTTGCGACTATTTTTATTTTAGAGGTCTTTTGGGCCTCATTCCACAATCCCCTGCTCAAGGCCAAGAACACACTAAATAAATCATTAGAAATCCATAAATACCTGTTGCATAGCCGGATGAATGACTAAACTAACAGTACCATGAAAGTCAGAAAATGCATCTGCCTGACACAGGTGATGTCCTGCTTGGCCTTCCCAAGGTACCCACTCACTTAACAGATGAGGCGATCAAGGCTCGGGGAATCCTGGGACCCCATCCGAGGCCCTGGCAGACTTAGGGCAGATTTGGGGTTTGGGTCCCATCCTCAGCAGCCACAGGGACTACTTTTGGAGCTGCAGATGGCTCAGAGTGGAGGCTCTCTCTTTTTTATGGTCTGTGTGAACCCCCCATGCACAAGCCCTGGAGACTGTGAGGGCTGAGGAACGACTCTGGGTATTGAGTGGCACTTTCTGCGGCTTCCTGTGGGATGTCAGAGCCTGTGGGCTCGCTCTGATGGCGGATCTATTCTTCTCCAAGCAGGAGGAACGGGTCGGCTAGACAGCATGCCAGGCCAGGGTGATTCACCCACAGCAGGATGTAGTTAGTGGGGTGCTGACTCGGCAAAAGAAAAGAGGGTTTGGGCAGCAGTGGGGCGAGGAGACGGGAGCAGCCGCCTGCCAGACCTTCGAGCTGAGCAGTTAGGAGGGGAGGGTGGGAGGGCGGAGGGGCTCAGTGCTGCTAATGTAGGACCCGGGCCGGATGCCCCGACCTGCACCGTGGGGCAGGGAGCGACAACCAGCAAGGTTCCTCTAAGCACCTCCTCTCTCTACTGAATCTGGAGCTTCGAGGTAGGGAATGGACATGCCTCCCCTCTGCCTCCGTCGTCCCTTCCTGGCCCTGAAATGCTGGTGTCCCTCACGCTCCTTCCTAGGCCCTCCCCTGGCTCTCACTGGGTGGTCTCATTCACCAGCGGTGCTCCAGTTCCCACGTTCGTGTAGGTGATGGAATCGCATAGTTTTAGTCAATACATGACTGATGCCCATTTCCCCTGCTGGACTGGAGGCCCCCCGAGAGCGGGAAGTGTGTCTGTTTTGTTCCGGTGCTGGGCACAGATGATATCTGATGATATCTGATATATCTGTAGGTCTAATGGCTGCTGCCTCCTGGCCACCTGTGGTGTGAGCAGGGCTGAGCCTGCTATGAACGCCCTGAGATGTCACAGCCACAGTGCCCCGGGGGATTTTCTCCTGCTGACCTGGGTACCGGGGAGCAGCTGCTTCCCACGACCGAACGCTCACCTTTTCGCCCTTTGGTCCGGGAGGTCCAAGGGGTCCCACGATGCCTTTGTGTCCCTGCAGAAAACAAGAAGGCGAGGCGGGAGGTGAGAGCATGGGGGTGGGAGGGCTTGGGAGGACCCTGCGATGAAGCACAGGAACTCGGAGACGGAGACCCTGGGCTGCGTGACTGGCCCCTGCCTCTGCCCCAACTGGCTGTGTGACTCCGAGCAGGCCCTGTGCCTCTCTGGGCCTTGGCCTCCCAGACGTGTCATGAGGGCTCCAGATACACCTCGAAGAGGTGGGCCCACTTGCGTGGCTGGGTTCTCTGCCCACCTGCCCCGGAGTAGACCTGGCACGAGACCTTGGGGGTGGAGCGTGGCTGGGTTCTCTGCCCACCTGCCCCGTATCCCAGGCCGTGGCCAGAACCGCGCACGTGGTTTCCCCTGCGCTCCCAGCACCGCCCCCCGCCCCCCGTTCCAGTCTCTCCCGCTCTCCTCCGCCCTCCTCGCTGTGTCTCTTTCAGACACGATCCCACCGCTAACTTAACACGCGGCCAGGCCTTGCACACATGTTCGTTAGCCTCCCCGAGCCTCAGTTTCTCCTTCTGAGCAAGCCCTGTGCCTCTCTCTCTGAGGCTGGTCTCCCAGACGTGTAATGTGGGTCTGGCTCAGCCCCCTCTCAAGAGTCCCAGCTTAAACACAAAAACAGGCTACGTCTCTCCCCTTCCGCAGAGCGCAGTCGTATAGCTCAGAGATGGGGTACGCGGGGCACCCACCATCGGAGGAAGGACTCACTGAAGGCACAGAGAGGGAGGTCTCTCTCTGTCCATTCCACCCCACCCCCAACCCCCGCCTGGCCGCCAGTGGCCCTCGACCCCCACCCTGGTCTGTGGGCCCAGCTGTTCCCTGGGGCGGGTGAGACCACAAATCCTCAATGGCCAGCGGGCGGGCCCCCAGCTGGTGGGTGGTAGGGGCAGAGGACCCAGGCCTGCAAGACAGAGTTTCGGGGGCGGGGGGTGGGGGGTAGGGGGAGGTGACATTTCCTTACATCATAACCAGCCAGTCCCGGTTCTCCTTGGGCCCCCAGCCGTCCTGGAGAGCCCTGTGAGGGGAGACCCATGTTGGTATGCAGCCTCACAGCGCAGACTCAGGCACAGTCTCGCCACCCAGCTCCAGCCCAGTTCAGCCCAGCAGCCTGGCACATCCACTCCGACCAGAACCCAGGCTGGAGGGCGAGGTGGAGAGCAGGTGGCTCCCTCCCTGCCCTCTGGAGCTCCCCTCCTCCCCGCAGCCCTTTCTTCTCCCAGCTCCAGTGCTTCATGAGAGCAGATGGCTCTATTTTCCCTGATTTTGTGGGGCAGTTGTTCAATCGAACGGTTATAGAAAATGAAAATTATATGAACTTACACTTAAACCAATTATATCAAAAACAAAGATGCCAAATATTTAAAACACTCTTCCTGATTATTTTACATTTTACTAGTTATTACCTATGCTCAGGAGGTTATCACATCTATTGAATCTGTGCGGCGGAAATACTAGATCATGTAGTACTCCTACGCTGCTTCTCCCATCCTCCCCTTCAGTGACGTCATGCTGGTAGCCTGAATCGGCCCTGGTGGCAGTCTTCCCACCACAGCAACGAGCAAGTGCCACAGACCAGCTCAGCTTTCTATCGGCACATACTGGCAGCTCAGAGAGCCCGCGTCACCCTCATCTGTCCCCTCTCTTGCTTCCTCTTGGGGCCGCCTTCCCCCTACAGCTGTCACACCCCTCGGGGGCAGGCCAGCAATGGCCTGGGACACCCTTAGAGTGACACAGGGAGCTACAGCAGCTTCACCCTCATCCTCATGAATCTATTTCCAGAGGGAAAGCTCTTGTTCAATTAAAAACATGCCCAAGGGTCTGGTCCCCTCTCCCCACCCCAACAGCAGGGCTTGTTAATTGGGGTCTTCAAGAGACCCCCGACTCCTTCAAATTGCAAGAAACACTTTGTGTCTTGTGCACTTTTCCAGAAGAGGGGTGGCAGCTTCTGTGGGTTCCCAAAGGGATCTGTGATTCAAAAGAAGTGGCTAGGACAACGGACACACAGGTGTTCAGCCAACAGCTGGGGTGGGTGGTACCTCCCTTTTTGCCTTCGGCCCCCTCTGCTCCACGCCTGACCCCACCCACCCCACCCAGAGAGTTCTCACCGTTGGTCCCAGGCTGCCCCGGGACCCTTTAGGGCCTGGGGTGCCAGGGGGTCCGGGGTCTCCAGGGGCGCCCATTTCACCCAGCTGTCCTTGGTAGCCCTTGGCACCCTGCAGCAAGGGGAGAGACAGGCTGTCACCAGGCCCCTGGGGGGGAGGCGGGGATGAGGGAGAGGGAGACAGGAGGATCGGGGCAGGAGGAGGGGTCCTACCTTGGCCCCGGTCCGGCCCTTCTCGCCTTGCTTCCCTGGTTTTCCTTCAGGACCCTGGAGGGAGAAGGAAGGAAGGAGAGAAAGATGAGAAGTGAGGGACAGTTGAGCAGGTCCACGCAGCGTGAGAGTGATAGCTCTAGAGGCGAACTGCCTGGGTTCAAAACTGATTCTGCAGTCAATATCCGAGTGCCCTTGAGTGTGACCTAACTTCTTATGATTGGCGTCTTTGTCTGCAAAGTGGAGACACTGGCTGCATTTGCCTCACAGAGCTGAGGGTTCAGTCTGGTGATACAGTAGCATACTTACAAGGTGCTTGGCCCATAGTAAGTGTTGGATAAATGGCTGTTTTCCTGGTTACTGTGAGGCACCCAGGCTGTCCCAATGGGGACAGCTCTCTACACTGAGCTCTCTCCATGTGCCATGCACTATTCCACCCTCCTAGCGACCCTGAGCCTGAGGCCTGATTCAGACCCCCTCCCACAGAAGTGACAGCTGAAATACCCAAAGTTGAAGCGGCTTGCCCAGTGCTCCTGCTGGTCCATGGCGGGGCCCTGATTCCATTGCAGATCTGTCTGAGGCCCTGCCCAGGGCTCAGGGCGCCCACTGGTGACATGAGGCAGGCAGAAAAGGTATTCTGGATCCTCCCTCATCTCTGAAATGCTGGGTGTCACTTCTGACAAGCTTTGAGGTTGTATCCCACTGATGGGTGCCACCCCCCCCCCCTCCACTTTCTCAGGGGCTGGGCCTGGAGGGGCTCCTCATAGTGAGCATTGTTCTGGAATGTCAGTCACTCTACTCTACTCTCCTACTGGGGCATCTAGGACACTCCCTCTAAGAGGCAGCTCTGCTCCGTCTCTGACCCCAAGGCATCTCCAAACGCTGCTCTCCCTGCCCTGCTCCAAGGGGAGCCAATCTAGCTTTGTCTCCACAGTCGCCAGGGAAACTCAGTTCAGTGGGGTGACTGAGTGTGTGTAAGTGTGCATGTGTGAGTGTGAGAGATGAGGGAGCAAGAGAGGGAGAGAAAGGAGTTCCGATCCTGGGCCACACTGGGTTGGCAGCGTTTCTGGCTTGAAAAGGACATCTTAACTGCCCCTGAGGGAGAGTCCCTTCAAGGCCCAAACCTAAAAGGTGCCTATGTTCTTGGAAGGCACTGAAGAGCTGGTTTGATTCAATCCCTTTGGCTGTATTAACAGAGGCACATGCTGTAGGATGAGGGAGGTGATGGTCCCATCTTGGAATAGGCATTACACTTGAAGAGGAGGCACTGACTAATTGTGAGGAAGGATGGGCACGAAGGGCATCCTAGAGGAACAAGGAAACGCCTGGACTAACCCAGATGGACTCGATTCCGATCTGCAGTATCAGCAGCTGCCCTGAGGATGGCCAGCAGATGGAACTTACAGGGAGGCCGGATTTGATTCAGAACAAGGGAGAAAGCCTGCTCAAAAGACACAACATGGCAAAAGTGTATTGGAGAAGATGACTCTCTGAAAGGAAAGTGCCAGTCAGACCACCCTGGGGCCCTCTGGAAGGAAGGAGCAGTGGCCCTGGAAGAACCAAGCACAGACTGCTCTGTACCCTAGTGATTGAGTCCTCATGTGACCCTGGACAAGTCCCTTCCTTTCTCTGCCTCAGTCTCCCCAGCTCTAACATGAAGGTCTTGAACTAGCCTTGTGCTGTTCAGTATGGTGGCCCCAAGCCACATGTGGCTACTGAGCACTCGAAATATGGCCATTCTGAAGAACTGAATTCTTAATCTGATTACATTTTAATTCACTTAAAATTAAATTTAAAAAATGAAAATTCAGTTATTGGAAAACTTTTAACAGTTACTGGAAAATTCAGTTATTGGAACAACTTGGGATACAAATCTACATTTCCAACTATATATTTTATTAGATCTAAATACAGATCACGTTTTTCCAATAGAAAGCATCTGAACTGAGATGTGCTATAAGTGAAAACTACACACCATATTTCAAAGACTTAGTACAAAAACTGCAAAATACTTTTTTAATAATTTTTATATTGATTACATGTTGAAATGTTAGTATTTTGGATATACTGGGCTAAATAAAATATGTTACTAAAATTAATCTGACCTGTTTTTATTTACCTATTTAAAATGTGACTATTAGAAAATTTTAAATTGTACACGAAGCTCATATTCTGTGTCTATCAGACAGCAATGCACTTGACAATCTCAAGGTCTCTGGCTCCTCTAGTCATGCTAACAATCGTCACAGTCTCAACCATGGCCAGGCGCTGTGTCTACCCTCTTCCTCATATCTCATTCAATTCTCCGCATAGGGCTGAGAGGAAGAGATTATTTATCCCATTTTAGAGCTAAAGAAACAGGCTCAGTGAGATGAAGGTGCTGTCCGCAGGTGACCCAGCCAGGTTAGAAATGAGACATGGATCCTCAGTTTCTGGGTACCCTGTGGCCCAGGCTGGTCCCAGTTGGGGAGCTGTGAAATCAGGATATAGGAGCTGGTGGAATTTGCTGGTGGACTGAGGTGATTGCAATGGCTGATCCCTCTTGAGAAGGAGAAATGAGTCAGTGCCAAAGTATTCGGCACAAGGCCAGGGAGACGGAGTCTCCCCCGGGGCAGGGTGGGCAGCCGGCCACTGTTCTGATGGGCCCTCCACAGCGGGGAGCATCCCCACCACCCCCGCCCCCGGTGTGGGAAAACCTGAGTAAGGGCGGGTGCGTCCAGTGGGGTGAGGCTCTGGGGCCAGAAGGAAGACTTTCGCTTGGCCCCGATCCATATAGATGTATTTCTGGAAAGGCCCTGATGGCTCATAAAATTCTATTTTTAAATTCTCCACTGTTTCCAGGCTTCGGAGTGAGAGACACTTGTCCTGCAGCCCTGATGCCAAAGAGACTCAAATACACGGTCCTCACCACCTCTGTCACCCGGCACTCAGTCTGGCCTCAGTGAACCTTTTTCTAGTTCCAGTAGATGAGAATCAGGAGTGACAGCAAAACATGGACATGAGGCTGCTACCGCCACCACCACTCAAGCCACATGCATCTTCACAGCCATCGTCATCACCTCTCTGCCACTGCCCTTGTCATTAGCACCGACACCACCAGCCATCACCAACCATCTCCACCGTTAACACCACCAGCATCATCACGACCACCACCACGACCGCCATGACCAACACCACCATGACCACCACCACAACCGCCACCATCAGCTTCCAGTCACTTCCTCATAAATTCATAAAGGCGATCTGTTGTATTTCGGGTGCATTTTATAAAGTGCTTTCCAGCCAAAGTTTCACTGACTCTTCATAGCTGAGAAAACCAAGGCTCAGAGAGAGGCAGTGATTTGCTCGAGGTCGCACCGAGAGTGGGTGATTAAGCCAGACCTCACTCTTTGGACTCTGGGTCCAGGACTACTTCTGCCACGTGTTGTTGCCCATCACACAGTCATGATTCTCAAAAGCTCACTAGGAAAGGGCTTCTGGAACACTGGAACTCAAAGCTATTTCAATACGCATTCCTTCCAAATCCTTCATCGTACCTAGGGCAGGACCCAAAGAAGGCAAGGGCAGGACCCAAAGAAGGCAAGGACAAGTGAAATGTCATACAGCAAGTTACTGATGGGAGGATGGGCCAGCGTTCC